ATAAACGTTGATTTTTAAAATATTTTTTTAAGGATCATCCATGCCATAAACTTGGATTTGTTAAAGATTTTCTTCAAGGGCCATCAAGGTCATATGCGAGAATTTTTAACGATTTTCTTCAAGGAATTTAGAGGTCATAAACATGAATTTTTTGAAGATTGTTTTAAGAAACTTTCGGAACATAAATTTCTTTAAAAAAATATGAATCATCCAGATCATAGACGTGGATTTTCTAAAGATTTTTTTCAGGGACAATGCATAAACGTGGAAAAATTCGGAAGTGTTTTTTTAGAATTTTTTAAGTCATACATTTCATTTTTAAAGTTTTATTTCCAGGACTTTTCAAACCATAAACTTGGATTTTTCAAAAATTTCTTCAACACCATAAGAGGCTATAAACGTGGAATTTTTAAAGAAACTTAGATTTTTTAAAAATGTCATTTAAGGGACTGCCGAACTCATAATCGAGGATAATTGAAGATTTTCTTCAAAGAAAAACAGAAACAGGATATAAACGAGTATTTTTAAGGGACCATTCAGGCCGTAACCGTGTATTTACGACATAAGAGGCTATAAAACTTGGAATTTTTAAAGAAACTTAGATTTTTTAAAAATGTTTTTCAAGGACTACCGATCTCATAATCGAGGATATTTAAAGATTTTCTATAAAGAAAAACAAAAACTGGATATAAACGTGGATTTTTAAGGGACCATCTAGGCCATAACTTAAAGAAACTTAGATTTTTTAAAAAATGGTTTTCAAGGACTACCGAGCTCATAACCGAGGATAATTGAAGATTTTCTTCAAAGAAAAAAAAAAAAAAAACAAAAACAGAATATAAACGTGTATTTAAAGGGACCACCCAGGCAGTAAACTTGTATTTAGAGCATAAAAGTGGATTTCTCAAAGACCATTAATATCATAGACGTGGATTTTCAAATATTTTTGCAAAGATCATCCACAAAGTGAATTTTCAAAAAAAAAAACCAAATAACCACTCAAACCATTTTTTTTTTTTTTTTTGAGGACCATCGAGGACATTAAGTAGATTTCCTTCAAGGACATTACAGACGTTAAATGTGATCGTTTAAAGAAATTTTCCAAGGACCATTCAGGCGAAAAAACGTGGGTTTTTAAAGATTTTTTTCAACCAGACCATAGTCATATATTTTAGATTTTTTTTAAGAAATATCAAGGTCATAAAGATTTTTTTAGGGATTCTCCAGGTCATAATCGTGGATTTTTTAAAGATTTTTTCAGGAATTACCCAGGCCATAGTCGTGTATTTTTAATCTAATAATAATAATTTTTTTTCAGGAACTATTAAGGCAATAGTCGTGGATTTTTTAAGAATTTTTTTCAGGAACTATCCAGGCCATTATCAAGGATTTTTTTAAGAATTTGTTTCAGGTTCTATATTTTTCAGGAACTATCAAGGCCATAGTCTTGGATTTTTTTTTTAACGATTTTTTTAGGAACTATCCAGCCTATAGTCATGGGTTTTTGAACTTTTTTTTAGAAACTATCGAGGCCATAGTCAGAAACTATCGAGGCCAAAATTTTTTTCAGGTTCTATTTTTCCAGAAACTCTCCAGGCCATAGTATTGGATTTTTTTAAGAACTTTTTTCAGGAACAATCCAGGCTATAGCCATGGTTTTTTTAAACATATTTTCAAAAACTATCGAGGTCATAGTCATGGTTTTCTTAAAGAATTTATTGAAGCCCTAATTTTTTAAATAAGTTAATTTAAGGCCATTAGCTTGATTTTTTTTATATATTAAATTTGTTATTCCGTTTGTAACACCTCGAAATATACATTTTAGACCCCACAAAGTATATAGATTCTTGATCAGCATAAAATTTTTTGTCGATTTAGCGATGTCCGCCCGTCTGTCCGTCTGTGGAAATCACTCCAGCTTTCGAATGAATTGAAGTGGATTGATAAAACTTTACACATATGTATATTATGTCTGCAGGATTTTGGTATTGAAAATGGGCCATGTAGGTCCACGTCCAAATTTGGTCCAAATTTGTTATTTGAAGTTCGAAATGGATACTACAGCCTAAGGCAAAAAATTGTCTGTGCAGATCCACGTCTTCGTGTAGCCCCCATATAAAGGTACCTCCCGATATTCGGTATTTTGATGATTTTAGCGACATTATTCACCGGAATTGTTTCAAATTTTATATTTGAAGTTCGAAAAGGATACTACAGCCTAAAACAGAAAATTGTCTGTGCAGGTCAACGTCTTCATATAGCCCCCATATAACGGTACCTCCCGATATTCGGTCTTTCGATGTTTTAGCTGCATTATTCACCAATTTTTTTAAGTTTCACATTTGAATATTGTAATGGCTTATGACAAAAGTTACTAATGCCGGTCCATGTCGTCGTATAGACCCTAATATGACAGCTATATTCGGTATTTTTAAGATTTTATTAGAAATTTTAATGGATTTTATTGTTTTTGAGAATTGCCAAATTCGTTCCAAATGGTGGAGGGTATTCAAAGTTTGTACAGCTTTTTTATTTGTTTTTTTTTTTTTTTTTGGAGTTTATTCTGGCAACATTAATGCCAAGATTTTTCAAGTATGAGCCTACACTGAAACCTGGATTTTGACCTATTTGTGGGGGAGGTACAAGAAGGAGTGAACCGATATATCCGATCATTACACTAGATCATGTGTTATCAAAAATGTTTTGATATGTAAAATTTGAAGAGAATCGGATACTTATTTGGTATTTTATAAGTGTTTTAATTATTCAAAATTTTGATCCTTTGTGTGAGAGTTAGATGATGGAGTCGGTCGATATTCCCCATTTTCGCACCTGACATAGCCCTGATACAAATATTGGAATTTGTAAAATTTGAACAAAATTGGATAATCCTTTCATGTTCTATACGGAAAATTATTTTCTATGAAAATTTTGGCCTTTTGTGGGGAAGGTACCAGAAGAAGTGTACCTATATTGCCTATCTCCGAACTCTATCCAAGTTTGACAAAGATATTATGATATACTGATTTTACATCATATAGGATACTCCCTTCGAAGCAAACACACCTAGATCGACTCCAAATATCCTTAAAACGGATTTGGTCCAAAGAGACCTAGGGTCTAAAACTGTTATTTCGATGAGGCACGTTTTGGCCATATCGAGTGATATATACGCTCTATAGCCAAATGTGAGAAGTGCGCCTTCTAAGAACACCATTAAGCGTTTATACGAAAAATTTTCGACTGGTAAGGCTCTTTCTAATCCGAAGAGGCCATATAAAAGTCGACCAAGACGATCGGCCGAAAATATCGCTGCCGTACGAGCCAGTGTTGAGAGGTCCCCAAGAACATCCCAAAAATGCCGTTCTCAGCAGTTGAGCATGGCTCGGTCCACTTTACAACGGATTATTCGCATTGATTTGCATTTGTTCCCGTACAAAATTCAATTGACGCAATGAATGTTGCCTGCGGACAAGCCCCGTCGATTGGAATAGGCCCAAAGGGCCCAAAGGTCCGTCGAATATGGGCAACCCTGTAGTTTTCTTTAAATCTCGTTCATCAAAAATTAAGTTAAATTAATCTTTAGCTGGCTTAGTTTTGCCCTGTTTACTATCGAATATTTATACCCTACACCACAAGGTGGTCAGGGTATTTGTTTGTAACAGGCAAAAGGAAACGTGATAGACCCATAGTTACTTTTGAGGATCTCCATAGAATCACTTTCTGAGTTGATTTATGCATCTCAGTCCGTCTGTCCACGTATTCTTGTGAACAAAATGCAGGTCGCATTTTTTATCCGATTGAGATGAAATTTTCCAAACAACATTTGTTTGGCCCAAGGACGAACCCTATTGAAATTGGAGATAATCGGTAAAAATTTAGATATAGCTCCCATATATATCTTCTTCCGATTTGCCTTTTATTGTGCACCAAACGTGTAATATCAGTCCGAATAGTATTGAATTTTGCACATACAACCAAATTAGGTCTGAAAATAAGCATGCCAAATTTGATGGAAATCGGTTCAGATATAGCTATAGCTCCCATATATATTGTTCATCCGATTTGTTATTTTTGTCCTCCGCAGCCGTTATATGCACTCTGTAACAGCAATATGTGGGGAAATATATCAAATGCAGCTCAGAAATACCTTTGCTAAATTTTATCGAGATCGGTTCAGATTTGGATATAGCTCCCATATATAACTTCGTCCGATTTACCTTTTATTGTGCGCCAAACGTCTAATATTTGTCCAAATTGGATGGAATTTGGCTCATTCGACCGAATTGAGTCTAGAAGGTAGTATGTCAAATTTAGTGAAGATCGGTTCAGATATAGGTATAGTTCCTATATATACTGTTCATCCGATTTGTTATATTTGATACCCACAGACGTAATATCCCCTCCGTAACACCGATATTCAGGGAAATATATCAAATACAGCTCAGAAATATATTTGCAAAATTTTATCAAGATAGGTTCCGATTTGGATATAGCTCCCATATATATCTTTATCCGATTTCAAATTAATTGTGCACCAAATGGGCAAAAGTCCGAGTCCGAATTTAAAAAATACAAATGCTGCGGCATATTTAGTCCTTTGAACTTTAAATTATAATTATAATCATAGCGTGTGTGATTGAATTCTCGGCCCCGCCCGACTTTAAGATCTTCTTTACTGGTTTTTTTATGTAATGGGACTCATTACAGAACCGCATAAAGGTCTATAATCTGTTTATAATCTATGGCGACCCATATATGCTTTTCCTTTCACTAAATGCTTGTGTTGGCATTATATCTAAAAAATTATTCAAAGTAGCCTTTGTGTGCCCCATATTTCCCATACTTGACCTCTTGTCTTACTACCACCCCTCACCCACCCCCAAATGAACAGAAAAACCCAAAAAGACTGCTCATTTATTAAACCAAACAATTACCAAGTACCTCCCTCTTCTCATATTGTGTCTCATTTTTTTTATTCCATTCCATAACCATTTCAGTACAACAACCCTTCCCCTCGGCCATAATCGCAACTAGAAAAATCACAGAAAAAACTAGCCACTGCTTAATACAAATTAAATAGAAAAGCAAAGGCAGCGAAAAAAAAAAATAAAGCCGACCAAGGAAAAAAGGGCAATCATCAGCAACAGTTTGTAACGAAATTGCCTAGAGGAGAGACACACAGTCACAGTCGTCCACACAACTACAACTGCAGGTCCTGGCCATTTCGTTATCCTCAGCCAAGTGTTGGATCTCTTTGTTGGTGACATATGCCAGCCGTCTAATGTTGTTGAGATATCTTTGTCTGCTGCAGAAGAAAGAATAACCACTTGGGCTTAAGTACCAGCACCATCAGCAGAAGCAGCAGCCGTCATCAACACATGTGTGGACACTTGTAGTGGAACAAGACGACGACATTGTGCTTAGGTAAGAAGGAGGTAAGTGCTGTACACTGAGAGAAATAATCAGAAGGATTTAGAGTGATACAGAAATGGGAGAAAAAAAACCCTGATATATTCAAAGGAGATTTTCGGTTCCTGTCCCACAAAGTCTTATCTAGAGAACATTTTATAAAATTTCCAGCTTTTCTCCCAGTGTATTTTGGCTCTGTTTCCCAAAATAGTTATTAACGATTATTTATATTTTAAACCTGTTCCTAAATTTTTATTGTTGTTGTTATTCTGTCTTGTTTTCCATATTTCCATAATACCCCCCTAATTTACATTCGCTTTCGAACGGTGACAGAGCGTGGACAAGCACACCGTCAACAAAATGGGCGACAACATAATTGGTTCGGCAAGTTTCTTGCATTTGGGTGACATTGTTTCACTCTTTGCCGAGGGCAGTGTTTGCGGATTTCTCAGCACTCTTGGGTAAGTTTGCGGAGCCATGGACTTCACTTCAATGTGAGTTATGTTTGCATCCTCTTTTTCATCTCTTTTCCTTAAGTTTGGTTGATGATCGTACCGTTGTGTGTCCTGAGGCAGGCGACTTAAATTATCCACCCAAGAAGTTTCGAGGTAAGCGGCGAATTTCTAATGGGATTTTTTAAGAATCTTTAATTTTCTCTCCCTTACAGATTGCTTGATAAAAGTATGTCCCATGAACCGCTACTCGGCCCAGAAGCAATTCTGGAAGGCCGCCAAACAATCAGCCAGCTCGAATACGGATACAAATTTATTGAAGAGATTGCATGTAAGTACAACCCGCAAAAAGTGGGTTAGAATTTATTTTTTCCGTGACAAAAACTTTCCTATCCTGGTCTATATAACAGCTGATAACTCTTCAGCTGGGCTCTCTATGTCCATAGAACAGCTGATGATGGCTCATCAGCTGCTGCTCTCTATGTCCATAGAACAGCTGATGATGGCCCATCAGCTGGGCTCTCTATGTCCATAGAACAGCTGCTGGGCCATCAGCTGAGCTCTCTATGTACACAGAACAGCTGATGGCCCATCAGCTGGGCTCTCTATGTCCACAGAACAGCTGATGGCCCATCAGCTGGGCTCTCTATGTCTATTGAACAGCTCATCATCAGCTGGGCTATAGAACAGCTCATGGCCCATCAGCTGTGCTCTCTATGTCCATAGAACAGCTGATGGCCCATCAGCTGTGCTCTCTATGTCCATAGAACAGCTGATGGCTCATCAGCTGGGCTCTTTATGTCCATAGAACAGCTGATGGCTCATCAGCTGGGCTCTCTATGTCCATAGAACAGCTGATGATGGCCCATCAGCTGGGCTCTCTATGTCCATGGAACAGCTGATGGCCCATCAGCTGTGCTCTCTATGTCCATAGAACAGATGATGTCTCTATGTCCATAGAACAGCTAATGGTGGCTCATCAGCTATGCTCTCTATGCCCAAAGAACCGCTGATGGCCCATCATCTCTATCTCTATGCCCAAAGAACCGCTCTATGCCCATAGAACAGCTGATGGCCCATCAGCTGGGCTCTCTATGCCCTTAGAACAGCTGATGGCCCATCAGCTGGGCTCTCTATGCCCTTAGAACAGCTGATGGCCCATCAGCTGGGCTCTCTATGCCCTTAGAACAGCTGATGGCCCATCAGCTGGGCTCTCTATGCCCATAGAACAGATGATGGCCCATCAGCTGGGCTCTCTGTGCCCTTAGAACAGCTGATGGCCCATCAGCTGGGCTCTCTATGCCCTTAGAACAGCTGATGGCCCATCAGCTGGGCTCTCTATGCCCATAGAACAGATGATGGCCCATCAGCTGGGCTCTCTGTGTCTATAGAACAGCTGATGGCTCATCAACTGTTAGAACCTATATTTTTACATATGTTCCCTAATCCCCCAATTTCTCTTCTCTCTCTCTCCCTCCTTCCAGCACGCTGCCGAAATCGAAAAGAAACAAAATGAGACGGAAAACAAAAAACTGCTGGGTACAGCCATCCAATATGGCAGTGTGGTCCAGTTGCTGCATTTGAAGTCAAACAAATATCTGACCGTAAACAAACGTCTTCCCTCGCTGCTGGAGAAAAATGCCATGCGAGTGTATTTGGATGCCAACGGCAATGAGGGTTCGTGGTTCTACATTATGCCCTTCTACAAGCTACGCTCCATTGGCGACAATGTCGTGGTGGGCGATAAAGTCATCCTAAATCCAGTCAATGCCGATCAACAAAATCTCCATGTGGCCGCCAATTATGAGTTGCCCGATAATCCGGGCTGTAAGGAGGTGAATGTTTTGAACTCCTCAACCTCGTGGAAGATTACCCTGTTTATGGAACACAAAGAGAATCAGGATCACATTTTAAAGGGTGGAGATGTGGTGCGGTTGTTTCATGCCGAGCAAGAGAAATTTCTCACCATGGATGAGTATAAGAAGCAGCAACATGTCTTCCTAAGGACCACAGGGAGGACCAGTGCCACAGCGGCCACATCCAGTAAGGCATTGTGGGAAATCGAGGTGGTCCAACATGATTCCTGTCGTGGCGGAGCTGGCCATTGGAATTCCTTGTATCGTTTTAAACATTTGGCAACGGGTTATTATTTGGCTGCAGAGCTGGACTCTGAAAATGGAGGATCATTGGGTAGTGGCATTAGTGCCAGTAGTGTGGGCCAGCTGCAGCAGCAGCAACAGATTCATCAGACCCCAACCCAGCTGCTGAATATTAGTGCCGAGAATGCCAAGGATTCGGGAATTAGCTGTAATTCCACGATGATAGGTGGGTGTTGAGATTTTTGGAGATCTTTTAGAATTCGAGTAAATATCCTTTCTCTCTTTCCAGACAAAGGCAAATTGGAGCATTATCGTCTGGTTTCCGTACCCTTTTCCACCGACATTGCCACCGTTTTCGAGTTGGACCCCACCACCATGGCCCGGGCGGATAGCTTGGTACCCCAATCAAGTTATGTTCGTTTGCGCCATCTTTGCTCCAATACCTGGGTCCATGCCACCTCCATACCGATTGACATTGATGACGACAAACCGGTTATGTCCAAGGTTTGCTGTTCCCCTGTCAAGGAAGACAAGGAGGCGTTTGCATTGATACCAGTCTCCCCAGTGGAAGTTCGTGACTTAGATTTTGCCAATGATGCCTGTAAGGTGTTGGTGGTGGTAACGGCGAAATTGGACAATGGCACCATTTCGATAAATGAAAGGAAATCCCTGATATCCCTGCTGCAGGATATTGTCTATTTCATAGCTGGCATGGAGAATGAACAGAACAAAACCAAGGCCCTGGAATTGACCATCAAAAATCCCATCAGAGATCGCCAGAAGTTGTTGAGAGAGCAGTACATTCTCAAGCAGCTATTTAAAATCCTACAAGGACCTTTCCAAGAACATCCAGGAGGAGATGGTCCCTTCCTAAGGCTCGATGAGCTTAGCGATCCCAAAAATAGTCCCTACAAAAATATCTTCCGTTTATGTTATCGCATTTTGAGATTATCCCAACAGGACTATCGCAAAAATCAGGAATACATTGCCAAACATTTTGGCCTGATGCAAAAACAAATTGGCTATGATATCCTGGCTGAGGACACCATTACAGCGCTGCTGCACAATAATCGTAAACTTCTTGAGAAACACATTACGGCAGCGGAAATTGAAACATTTGTAGGACTCGTCAGGAAAAACATGCACAATTGGGATTCGCGATTTTTGGACTATCTCTCCGACCTGTGTGTCTCAAATCGCAAGGCAATTGCTGTCACCCAGGAGCTGATATGCAAAAGTGTTTTGAGTACAAAAAATTCCGATATACTCATCGATACCGAAGTGAAAATTGTCAAGGCCCCGAAATTTGGATTTCCCAAACAAAGCGATATCAACAAGCCCCTGTCGCCTCTAACCGAAGTTGTGGATGACGATGACAAATTGGATTTGATTTCCACCAAGACAAGCAGTACCTGGGATTTACGTAGCCTGGATGGTGATGCGGAGGGCGATAATGTCAAATATGAAATTCATTTGAAATGGAAGGGATTGAAGGTAGGTCTTAAAGGGACTCCTGAAATATTTATAACTTATAAATTTTTGGCTTTCTAGGAATCCCGTTCCATGGCCGATTTGGCCAACTGTGTGGCCCAAGGCAAAGAACAAGAAATCGCCATTTTGAATTATTATCGCCACCAGCTGAACCTATTCTCGAATATGTGTCTGAATCGCCAATATTTGGCCTTGAATAATTTATCACCCCATTTGGATATTGATTTGATTTTGAAGTGAGTCCTCTGCATTTTTGGATCGGAGCTGTACTAATTTTCACTTTTTTTTATTAAAATTCTAGGTGCATGTCCGACGAAACCATGCCGTATGAGTTGCGTGCCTCCTTCTGCCGTCTGATGTTGCATTTGCATGTCGATCGTGATCCCCAGGAACCGGTAACACCGGTAAAATATGCCCGCCTCTGGAGTGAAATACCATCGAAAATGTCAATCCTAGAGTAAGTGGTAAAATAGTGCTTAAGGGAGTTCCATTGGTTATTTGCATTAATAGGGCATATTGGGCGCCATTTCGTCAATTCAAATTTCGAGTTAGCGGACTAAACCACTAAACCTTATGAAATTTTAAGAGCAGAGAGCAGATTATTGCTTTAAATCTACTAATGTTTAAATGCGGCACTACAGCAGATAGGTTGGCGGAGAAACTGGAGAATTCAATATATAGCTGTAATTCATTATCGGGAATTCGATATTGGCGATGATTCTTAGACAATCGTTGTTGTTGTTGTTGTTGTAGCAATTATACATGCATGTGTTAGCGTTCTGCTAATCTGGTTCCAGCTCCAGGTTTAGAAATTCGGCTACTTTAATGGGCTGTAGCCAGAGATCTTCTGGAGTGAGATAGGTAGGTTTGGATGTGCAATTAAAGAGGTGCAGCTTGTTGTGCGGGCCTGTATCGCACGCCGGTGACGCCTGCCCGGCGTCGTGCCCAATACGACTACACCATCCTGAACGTAATTGCAGTGGGTTCTACGATAACGGATTGACCCGAAACAGCAAGATCCCATTTTCGGCCAGCGGCTGCCAACCCAAAATGTACATGTTTGTGTTTAAGCAATCGTGGATACTAGTGTCGATATTCAGAAGGTGGAGGATTTGTAGATAATAAGGAACAATGATGAAGGGTCATCGATAATCGGAAACTATCATGTATGGTCATCGAATGTCGACGAGTGAGAGTAGTCATGAATTACGATGTTGTTATTCGGATTGGGGCGATTTCGGTGCTCCATATGTTGACGATTTGAATGTAATTAGGAACTTTATTACATTGATGTCCCGATCGTATTAGATGATTCGGAAAGTCTTCGGATCGTTGCTTACCCGCGGCACTCATCTCTGACCTTTTGGGCAAATTTGCTTAAATAGCAACAAGTCACGTTGGGCGCCATTTTAACAAATGACATGAAAATTCTATTACAAATCATTTGAAACAGTGTTTGTTAGATTTTGCACAAAGACTTTGAATTTTTATCTGCACGGCGTGTGATACAGGCCCGCACAAAACCTAGAAAATTTCCCTCTCAGTGTAACTTTAGATTCCTTCCAACGGTTCGTGTTAGGCCTTTTTAGTACTCGAAATACTCAATTTGTTCAGTTTGACAAACATTTTTATAACCTCAGTCATATTTTTATAAATTACCTCATCGAAATAATGGTTTTCGATCCTAGGTCTCTTTGAACCAAATCCGTCCGTCCGTCTGTCTGGATGGTGAAGACCATAACTCTCGAAGGGAGTATTCGATTTGGTCTAACCTTGGTATATCCTAATATTTATGTCAAACTTAGATCGAGTTCGGAGATGAGCAAGATCGGTCCACTCCTTCTGGTACCTCCGCCACGAATAGTCGAAATTTTCAAAAAATATATTTTCTGCACAGAAAGAGAAAGGATAATTCGATTTTGCTCCAATTTTTCAGTACAAGGTGATATGAAAAAATTGCAACCAACTTCAGACTACTGTCAATTTTAAGCCACTCGTCCGACAGCTGTTAAAATTATTCCAGTGACAGGTCATTATATTGTTTACAAGCATACAAAAGCATTTTGGTGAGAATTTTCCAGAACACAAAAGTTATTCGTGATGGAACTCAAGCGTGATTGTGTGATTTCTTTATATTTGGCTGGAAAATCACAAGTGGCTATCATTGGAGCACTCCAGCATTTAAATGTGAATAAATATTTTGTGTCTCGTACCATCGCTCGTTACCGTGATACTGATACTGGTAGCGTAGCCCGACGTAAAGGAAGTGGACGGAAGAAAATAGCAACATCCGCAGAATTGGTTCGAAAAGTAAAGAAGCGACTTGTTCAAAACCCGCGTCGCAGTGGCCGAAAAATGGATGGTGAGCTGAACATATCGCAATATTCCATTCGGCAAATATTGAAAAATGAGCTCGGAGTAAAGCCATTGAAATTCCAAAAAGTGCATGAACTTACACCGCACCAGAAAATAGACTCAAAAGAACAAAAGAGTTGATTCGCTTGGCCGAAAGTGGTGAACTGCCGAATTTGGTTTTTTCCGATGAGATGAGAACATTCGTTGTCCAGCAGTTTGTAAACAAACAAAATGATCGTGTTTACTTGCCAAAGCGGTCAGCTGAAAATGTGCACTTTCGGTTGGCCACCAGAACTCAAGCGCCGGCCATGGTGATGGTGTGGCCCGCCATAACAGCCAATGGTCGCTCTCCGCTCGTATTAATTGACCGTGACATCAGAATAAATGCTGAATATTATTGCGAAAGTATTCTGAAGAGTGTTTTAAAGCCTTCGGCACGTAAACTTTTTGGCCGCAGACCTTGGACATTCCAACAGGACCCACCCTAGAATGGTTACAAAATGAGGTTCCTCGCTTCATTTCCAGCTCACAATGACCACCAAAATCTCCGGATACCAATCCGTTGGACTATTGTGTCTGGAGTATTTTGGAAAGCAAGGTTGGCACTAAAAAATACCAAAGTGTCGATCACCTCAAGCAAGCGCTTCGCCGGGAATGGGCCAAAATACCGCAGAGCAACATTCGAGCAGCGTGTGACGGCTTCATTGGACGTTTGAATGCCATTTTCCTTCCCAATATGACCAATTCGAACAAATCTAAACTTATTCTAGAATTTGATCCTATTTCCGACATTTTTTGCTTTATTCAATTATGAAAATTAAAAAAAAAATTAAAAATATGGCCTTTGACTTTGTTGCAGTTTTTTATCTCACCCTGTATTCGAAAGTAGAACCAAAATTTTTTTGGGGCAAATCTGTTTCATATGTTTCAATTTTTAATTATGTCTTTGATTTTTTAAAACTCCCATTTGTTTGTGCCCCATGTTGGGCGCCATTTGAAAAGATTCATATTAGAAAGAAGTACCAAAAATGGGATGAACAAAACAATCCCAAAAATAAGTTTATTTTTAGCTGGATTGTAGATTTAGTTTAACTTCAATATGTTTGTGCCCCATGTTGGGCGCCATTTCCAAAAAAAAGGTCCATATTCACCAGTTTTTTTTTAATTTACTATTTGCTCAGGGGGAGCAATTTATCTCGTGTGGAGATGTTGGCTTGCGTTATTGAACCACCGGCAGAACACCGATACGGTTCGAAACCTTTGATAACCCGATTATTTAATTTTTTTTTTTTTTAATCTTATAATAAATTTTCCCAATTTCGAAACAGCATCCTATCGCCATTTCTGTATTCAATAAGTATTTTCCCGATTCGAAATACGCCATGCGACTGGATTATTCACCAGTTGAAGCGAGGGCAAAATTTTTCTCAGAAATTAATATTTATATCATTTTCCAGAAATTCTATCTCTGGTCGCCATTTGTGCCAAAAATCGAAAGGTTTCAAAAATTGTTTAAATTATTTTCTCATTTCATTCATAGTTACGATGGCAAAAATCAACAACCCGACTACAACAAGGAAGCTGTTCGGGCCAAATTCAATACCACCATAGCATTTGTGGAGAACTATCTTTGTAATGTGGCGGCCAAAGTTTGGCTGTTCACGGATCAGGAACAGAATAAGCTCACCTTTGAGGTAAGTCATACTTCAGATTTGAAAGAACTTCTCAGAAAAATTATTTCGAAATACGCCATATATTTTCCTCAAAACAAAATTTATAATCCGATATTGAATGCTTTTCCAGGTGGTGAAATTGGCCCGCGATCTCATCTACTTTGGCTTCTATAGCTTCAGTGATCTGCTGCGTTTGACCAAGACTTTGCTTTGCATTCTGGATTGTGTGTCGGATAGTAGCATTGATAGCTCCACGGCAGCTGGACCAAATGCAGGACGATTTGAGGCTGCTGTGACAGATTGTAAGTATATCTAAATGGCAGGGATAGGATACCTGCATTTTACAAACCCCTAAATATAACCACTTGTGTTCGAAAATATTTATTTGAATTTGAAAATGCCTTCTGAATTGGCTTGGCTTATTTAAAAACAAATTTCAAATTATTTTTGCCAAACTTATTTTTGCCTAAATTTAAAATACAAAGCGGCCGAAGATGAGGATTCCAAAATTGGTAAGTCCTTCCTAGACCGACCCTTTAGCTGCTAATCCGAAATCCAACAAGTTTGTGCCTAGGATATATAAATTACACTTACCCAAAACATAACACTAACACATTCATCCAATTCTCCACTCATTTCCCACATTTAGCCGAGGGTGGTGTTCTACGGTCCATTGGTGATATGAACACCGTCATGACTAGTCTGGCATTGGGTTCCGTGGGCCAAGTTATGGCCACACCGGCCATCTCCTCATTACAGCAGCGCAAATCCGTATCGCAATTGATGAAGGAATTCCCCCTGGTCATGGATACAAAATTGAAAATCATCGAAATTCTACAATTCATTCTGGATGTCCGTTTGGATTATAGAATTAGTTGCCTCCTATCGATATTCAAGCGTGAGTTCGACGAAAGTGACGCCCATCAATATGCCAATCAGTCGGAAGCAGCCACAGCTACCGTAAACGTCGGCACCATATGTTCAGACAAGCACAACCACCATTACCACGACATCGGATAGTGGCATTAGTTCGTCGTCGGCCTCTACGGCGGCGGGTGTCAGTGGTGGTGGTGGTGGTGGCGGCGATAACACTTCAACTTCCAACACAACATCTTCCACATCCACCTCGAACACGAACACAACCTCCGGCACCCAAGATGCCCAGTCATCGGCAGCTGCTGCTGCTGCCTTCCAACAGCGTCAAAAGAATATCGATTTAGAGTCAATTGGCATACAAGCTGAGGGCATCTTCGACTGTGACAGTGGCGATGCCGCCAATTTGGATTTAGACGGCCAGGGCGGTCGTACATTTTTACGTGTTCTCTTGCACTTGATTATGCATGATTATCCACCGTTAGTGTCGGGAGCATTACATTTGCTATTCCGCCATTTCAGTCAACGTCAAGAGGTGTTGCATGCATTCCGCCAGGTAAGTAGTTGAAATATTTATCTTTTATGCTTTTGGAATGTTGAAATTTGTGTTGAATTTCTTTTTTAAATTGAACAGCTTTATATGATAGGTACAATTTTGAGAAATATTTTTTGGCCCACGTTGGGCGCCATGTTTTTGAGACAATTGTATCGGAATCTTTTTGTAAAAAAATCACTATTGTAGTGTCAGGGTATATATAAATATCGTCCGTTATGGAAATTAAGCTAACAATTCATATTTTGGAAATATGTTTCCAACCCCACGTTGGGCGCCATTTGGTAAAATTTCATCCGATTCCTTTTTTATAAATGCAAACCCACGGCGTGAGGGTACATGAAGGAATCTAGCCCTTTGTAATTGAAGCTATCAATTTCATGCTTAGGAAATATGTTTAGGGTCCCACCTTGGGCGCCATTTTTTCGAAAATTTCATCTGAGTCCTTTTATTAAAAATTTAATGGCTCGTTGTGAAAGTGTATACAGGAATCTACTTTTTAGACATTTAAGCTATCAATTTCCTGTTTTCGAAATTAGTTTCTAGTCCCAGTTTGGGACCCATTTTTTGGGGAAATTTTATCTAAATCCTTTTAATCAAAAGTTAAACTGTTCAGTGGTGGAATCTACTTTTTAGTCATTGGAGCTATCGATTTCATAGTTTTGAAATATGTTTCCGAGCTTACGTTGGGCGCCATTTTTTGTAAAAATTCATCTGAATTAAAAATCTAATAACTCAGTGTGAAAGAACATACAGGAATCTACTCCTTAGACATTTAAGCTATCAATTTCATGTTTTTAAAATTTGTTTCTGGCCCCAAGATGGGCGCCATATTATATCAAAAATGCCATACCGCGGTGTGATGGTACATAAAGAAGTCTATTCTTTAGCCATTTAAGCTACCAATTTCGGGTTTTGGAAATATTTTTCTGGCCAAACGTTGGACGCCATATTTTTCTGTACACTTTTTGTATCGAAAAGGCAACACCTCGGTGAGCTATCGATTTCATGGTTTGAAAAATGTTACCGATCTTACGTTGGACACCATATTCATTTTTTTATTTAATCGAATCCTTTAATACAATACCTCGGTGTGAGGCTACATAAAGGAATCCACTCATTTGTCATTTAAGCTATCAATTTTGAGATTTTGGACTTTGCTCCATGTTGGGCGCCATTTTTTGTTTTTGTGAAATTACATTGGAATCCTTTTATCAAAAATACAATACCTTGGCGTCATTTTAGACATCTTATTGAAATTGAAATATTTTTCCGACCTCATGTTGGGCGCCATATTTTTTTAAAGTTCTTTTTATCAAAAATGCAATACCTCGCCAAGAGAGCGCGACCAATAATTTATTTTTTAGCGATTTAAGCTACCAATTTCACGTTTTGGAAAATTTATTTCTTGCCAAACGCCATATTTTTGTGAAATTGCATCTGTATTCTTTAATCAAAAGTCAATACTTCAGCGGTGGAATCGTCATTTAAGGCATTTTAACTATCGATTTTATGGTTTTGAACTATTTTTCCTACCTCACTTTGGTCGCCAATTGTTTGCCAAATCAAAAAATGCACTATCTCGATGAGAGAGTGCATACAGGACACTATTCTTTAGCTATTTAAACTACCGGTTTCACGTTTTGGAAATATATTTCTGGTTCCACGTTAGTCGCCATTTTTGTAAAATTTCATCTGAATTAAAAATCTAATAACTCGAGAAAATTTCATCTAAATTATTTTATGAAAAATTCAATATCACTGCGGTGGAGTCTAATCTTTAGTCATTAAATATGTGACAAGCCCCACGTTGGGCGCCATTTTTTTGTGGTATTTCATCTGAATCGTTTCATCAAAAAATGCAATACCTCGGCGTGAGAGTACGTACAGGAATCTATTCTATAGCCATTTAAGCTACCAATTTCGCGTTATGAAAATATATTTCTAGCCAAACGTTGGGCGCCATGATTTTGGTGAAATTTCATCTGAATTCTGTTATCAAAAAATGCATTTATGAATGTATTCTTTAACGATTTAAGCTACCAATATCGCGTTTTGGAAATGGAAATGAATCGTTTTATCAAAAGTGTAATACCTTGGCGGTGAAATCAACTTTAAATTCATTTAAGCTATCGATATAATGTTTTGAAATATATTTCCGACTTCACGTTGGGCGCCATTTTTTTCGAAAATTTCATCCGAATACTTTCATCAAAAATGCAATTCTTCGGTGTGGAAGTACATACAGGAATCTTTTCTTTTGTCATAGAAACTATAAATTACATGTTTTTGAAATATGTTACTGGTCCCACGTTGGGCGCCATATTTTCGTGAAACTACATCTGCATTCTTTTTATCAAAAATGCAATACTTTGGCAGTCTTATCTAGTCTTTAGTCATTTAAGCTACTAATTTCATACTTTGGAATTATGTTTCTGATCCCATTTATATTGCCGAAAATGTATCCTTAAATACAAATCGGAGCCTACACCATCTTATCTTATAAAGCTGTTCATAGAATTGTTTCTAGACAAAATATTTTTTAACGTGTTACCAATGTTTTTTCTTTGCCATGCTTTCGTTCCGAACCATAACAACTTAACTATTAACTATAAATTTATTTGATTTTCATTTTCTTTAATAAAAAAAATATTTAAATACTGAATTCCCTATATAAACAAGTTTTTGTTTACTTTTTTTTCATTAACAATTATTTACTAATCTTACAAAAAAAAAAAAAAAATAACAAATACTTCAAATAAATAAAACCCAGTGGATGAGTATAGTTAGTACTGTTTGATTTTTCTTGATTATATATTTAAGCTTAGTTTTAATATTTTACTTACTTTTCTATAAAATACCAAATATTTTCAATTTTAACTTATTTTTAATACGTCTTCTAACCCATCGGCAAAATTAGGTACAACTTTTGGTTTCCGACAATGATGTGGAATCCTACAAGCAAATTAAACACGATTTGGATATTCTACGGCAAAGTGTTGAGAATCAGAATTGTGGGTCTATAAATCAAAAACTTCCGAGGAATTAAGTACAAGTAAGTGGGAGAAAAAAATAATAGCGGGGAATGTGGAGTCGAAAGGGCAGAAAAATTCAATTTTCCAATTTTTTTAATAGTAGATTACGACCTTCATATTCTTGGAGCTGGAGAAAGGCGGGACGAAGATATTGTGCCCCAGTGACTTCCGACTCCACATTTCTATAAAATATCCTATTTTATCATCTTAACCTAACATAAATTCTTTCTCTCCCACCCAGCTGTAGGAGAATCTTCTATAGATAATAGCAATCTAACCAACGAATATAGAGCTTCGCTATCGACTGAACAATTGGCCGAGTACAAAAAGGTCAAAGAAATCCTAATACGCATGAATCAATTTTGTGTTACCCAAGGTGAGTAGAGGTCCTTTCATTTTATTTAATTTTTTTATGAAGAGATGTCTCCCCCTTTTTCTCTAGGTCCCTATGTCAAACCCCGCAAACATGAACAACGCCTGCTGCGAAATGTCGGCGTCCACACTGTGGTCTTAGATCTCTTACAGAATCCTTACGACGAAAAGATGATGTCCTAATGAAGGAGTTAATGTTTTTGGCCCATGAATTTTTGCAAAACTTTTGTTTGGGCAATCAACAGAACCAGGTTCTACTGCACAATCATTTGGATTTGTTCCTGAATCCGGGGGTAAGTAGGGAAGATGATACCTAAATACTTCCGGTATTGAAACTCTGGTCATTATTTCGTCTAAACAGAGTCTCCAGCACATTCTAGGCATCTACTTTTTAGCAATTTAAGCCACCATATTTTTGTGAAATTTCATTTGATTTCTTTTATTAAAAGTGCAATACCTCGGCAGTGGAATCTACTTTAAAGTCATTAAAGCTATATATTTCGTGGCTTTGAAATATGTTTCCGACCCACGTTGGGCGCCATATTTTGGTGAAATTTGATCTGAACCCTTTCGTCAAAAATGCAATACCACGATGTAAGAGTATGCACCGGAATCTATTCTTTAGCCGTTTAAGCTACTAATTCTACGTTTTGGAAATATAATCCTTGTCAACGTTGGGCGCCATATTTTCGTGAAATTACGTATGTTGTCCTTTGTCAAAAATGCAATACCTCGGCGATGTAATCTACTTTAAAGTCATTGGAGATATCGATTCCATAATTTTGAAATATGTTTCCGACTTCACGTTGGGCGCCATATTTTTGGCGAAATTACATTTGATTCTGTTTATCAAAAGTGCAAAGATCGGCGGTGGAATCTACTTTAAAGTCATTTAAGCTATAGATTTTATGGTTTTGAAAAATGTTTCTAGCCCCATGTTGGGCGCCATTTCCTTTTTTTTTTTGTTTTTGAAAATTCATCTGAATCCTTCCATTAAAATGCAACATCTTGGTGTGAGAGTACGTACAGGAATGTGTTATTTAGTCATTTAAGCTACTAATTTCACGTTTTGGAAATATATTTTTATCAAACGTTGGGCGCCATATTTTTATAAAATTTTGTTGTTGCAAAATGGTCAGGCTTATCCCTTTATTGTTGTTTTTATAAAAACAACGTTTTGTTTATTAGTGGAGAACGATGGTAATGTTTACCAGGGGGTAAGGCAGGGAATACCTTGGTTTCGGAAAGAGCCACCAATCCTCATCAGTTCCCTTGTTTTTTGTCTGGGATATTCTCCCCAGAAGTTATTTTAAAAATAACTTCTATGACAAAAAACATTTTTTACCCAAGTGACGAGATTGTAAGCTCAATAGAAGAGGAACCAAAGAATTAAATAAAACTAAAATTCTCGTGGAAAGTCTTCTAAATCTTACAACCGCACTTATAAACATTTTCATCTTTCTCCACTTGTTATGCTTTCGTTCAGCTTGAACGAAGTAGCATAACCATGTAAGTTGGTTTTGTCTGTTACAACAAAAACCCCTTCGTCGACCGTGCCTTGTCTATAAATAGAACAGTGTGGCTTGTTTGTTCGGGATACCGTAGTATTTTGTTGTTGCAAAATGGTCAGGCTTATCCCTTTATTGTTGTTTTATTGAGCTTACAATCTCGTCACTTGGGTAAAAAATGTTTTTTGTCATAGAAGTTATTTTTAAAATAACTTCTGGGGAGAATATCCCAGACAAAAACAAGGGAACTGATGAGGATTGGTGGCTCTTTCCGAAACCTAGGTATTCTCCACTAATAAACAAACGTTGTTTTTATAAAAACAACAATAAGGGATAAGCCTGACCATTTTGCAACAACAAAATACTACGGTATCCCGAACAAACAAGCCACACTGTTCTTTTTATAAAATTTCATCTATATTCTTTTATCAAAAAGCAATACCTCGGTGTGAGAGTACGTACAGGAATCTATTATTTAGCCATTTAAGCCACTAATTTCACGTTTTAGAAATATATTTCTTGTCAAACGTTGGGTGCCACATTTTTCTCAAATTTCATATACTCTTGAGACATTTAAGCTACCAATTTCATGATACGTTGGGCGCCATTTTTTTTTTTTTTTTTTGAAATTCATCTGAATCCTTTCATTAAAAATGCAATACCTTGATGTAGAGTACGTACAGAAATCTAGTCTTAAGCTATTTAAGCTACTAATTTCAAGATTTGGAAATATATTGTTCTCAAACGTTGGGCGCCATATTTTTTTGAGATTTCGTTTATGTTCCTTTATAAAAAAATGCAATACCTCGGTGGTCTAATATACTCTTGAGACATTTAAGCTCTCAATTTCATGATTTTGAAATATGTGGGTCGGAACCCATGGAACCCATATTTTGGTGAAATTTCATCTGATTCCTTTCATCAAAAATTAAATACTTCGGTGTGATAGTACGTACATGAATCTATTCTTTAGTCATTTAAGCTAATAATTCCACATTTTGGAAATATGTTTCCTGTCAACGTTGGGCGCCATATTTTTTTTTTTTTTTTTTTTGAAATTTCATCTATATTCTTTTATCAAAAATGCAATACATCGGCGGTGGGGTTTACTTTAAAGCCATTTAAGATATCGATTTTGTGGTTTCGATTTATGTTGGGCACCATATTTTCCTGTCATCCAAAATGTAAGGGTACCTACAGGAATCTATTTTTTAGAAATTTAATCTACTAATTTCACGTTTTGGAAATATATTCTTGTCAAGCATTGGGCGCCATATTTTTGTGAAATTTCATCTATATTCTTTTATCAAAAAGCAATTTTCGGCCGTCGAATGTTCTCTTGAGACATTTAAGCTGTCAATTTCATAATTTGGATATATTTTTCTAGCCCCGCGTTGGGCGCCATTTTTTGTAAAATTTCATCTGAGTTAATAAATTAAAAAAATGGATCTGAATGAAATCTGTACACAGGCAGGCAGACCCATCAAACACGCTGAGTCATTAGCTCATCTGTACCTACACGCTGACAATTTACCTCGTCTGTACAGACACGTTGACCCATCAGCTCATCTATACGGACACGCTGACTTCTTTAGCTCATTTGTACAAACATGCCGAATTTTAGTTCTCCCTTGAGACATTTTAGCTGCCAATTTCATGATTTGTAAATATGTTTCTACCCCCGCGTTGGCCGCCATTTTTTGCAAAATTTCATTGATTGAATTGCTAAAATCAAAAAATAAATAAATCATCTGAATGAAATGTGTACACAGACAAGCTGACCCATCAGATCGTCTGTACAAATACTCTGACTCCTTCAGCTCATCTGTACAAAAATGCTGAACTTTAATCTCCTCTGTAAAGACACGCTGACCCATCAGCTCTTCTATACAGAAACTGTATTGATTCTCTGATCCTTGTATTTTGCTTGAACTCACTGACCTTTCAGCTCGTCTATAAAAACTGTCTGACTCTTCATATCCCTTATCCCTCCCCTTAAACTTGTTTCACAGTCCCACGCCTGGCCTTTAAAGATTTGGGATACTCTATCTCCCTATACCATACGAATTACTTTTAAAACCAAAAGGCGAATGAAATAATGTCTCTCATACCCAAGTTGGACACCATTACCATTATTTATATTTTTTTGTTCCATCTGATCAGGGCTTTTCCAAAATTGAAAGCTAGTGGTAATATTTTTCGGTGCCACATTGGGCGCCATTACAAATCATTTATAATGTGTTTCGTTATGGAATGGTCGGTTATATGTTAGTGAGAAAGAGGAATGTTATTGTGTTCTCGATCCTGCAGTTGGGCGCCATTATAGGTACTTGATTTATCATGGGCACCATTCCCACGTTGGGGGAGATATTGAACGCCAATTCAGCTTTACACAATCTTAAAAAAAAACCACGTTTATAGTCCTTTAAAAATTCTTAAAAAATCCTTAAAAAATCCACGTTTATGGTCCTTTAAATATCCTTTAAAAAATCTTAAAAAAAAATCCACGTTCATAGTCCTTTAAAAAATCTTTAAACAATCCACGTTTATAGTCCTTTAAAAAAATCTTTAAAAAATCCACGTTTATAGTCCTTTATAAAATCCACGTTTATAGTCCTTTAAAAAATCTTTAAAAATCCACGTTTATAGTCCTTTATAAAATCCACGTTTATAGTCCTTTAAAAAATCTTTAAAAAATCCACGTTTATAGTCCTTTATAAAATCCACGTTTATAGTCCTTTAAAAAATCTTTAAAAAATCCACGTTTATAGTCCTTTATAAAATCCACGTTTATAGTCCTTTAAAAAATCTTAAAAAATCCACGTTTATAGTCCTTTATAAAATCCCGTTATAGTCCTTTAAAAAAATCTTTAAAAAATCCACGTTTATAGTCCTTTAAAAATCCACGTTTATAGTCTTTAAAAAATCTTTAAAAAATCCACGTTTATAGTCCTTTATAAAATCCACGTTTATAGTCCTTTATAAAATCCACGTTTATAGTCCTTTATAAAATCCACGTTTATAGTCCTTTATAAAATCCACGTTTATAGTCCTTTATAAAATCCACGTTTATAGTCCTTTATAAAATCCACGTTTTAGTCCTTTATAAAATCCACGTTTATAGTCCTTTATAAAATCCACGTTTATAGTCCTTTATAAAATCCACGTTTATAGTCCTTTATAAAATCCACGTTTATAGTCCTTATAAAATCCACGTTATAGTCCTTTATAAATCCACGTTTATAGTCCTTTATAAATCCACGTTTATAGTCCTTTATAAAATCCACGTTTATAGTCCTTTATAAAATCCACGTTTATAGTCCTTTATAAAATCCACGTTTATAGTCCTTTATAAAATCCACGTTTATAGTCCTTTATAAAATCCACGTTTATAGTCCTTTATAAAATCCACGTTTATAGTCCTTTAAAAAATCCACGTTTATAGTCCTTTATAAAATCCACGTTTATAGTCCTTTATAAAATCCACGTTTATAGTCTTTATAAAATCCACGTTTATAGTCCTTTATAAATCCACGTTTATAGTCCTTTATAAATCCACGTTTATAGTCCTTTATAAAATCCACGTTTATAGTCCTTTATAAAATCCACGTTTATAGTCCTTTATAAAATCCACGTTTATAGTCCTTATAAATCCACGTTTATAGTCCTTTATAAAATCCACGTTTATAGTCCTTTAAAAATCCACGTTTATAGTCCTTTATAAAATCCACGTTTATAGTCCTTTATAAATCCACGTTTATAGTCCTTTATAAAATCCACGTTTATAGTCCTTTATAAAATCCACGTTATAGTCCTTTATAAAATCCCGTTTATAGTCCTTTATAAAATCCACGTTTATAGTCCTTTATAAAATCCACGTTATAGTCCTTTATAAAATCCACGTTTATAGTCCTTTATAAAATCCACGTTTATAGTCCTTTATAAAATCCACGTTTATAGTCCTTTATAAAATCCACGTTTTATAGTCCTTTATAAATCCACGTTATAGTCCTTTATAAAATCCACGTTATAGTCCTTTATTAAAATCCACGTTTATAGTCCTTTATAAAATCACGTTTATAGTCCTTTATAAATCCACGTTTATAGTCCTTTATAAAATCCACGTTTATAGTCCTTTATAAAATCCACGTTTATAGTCCTTTATAAAATCCACGTTATAGTCCGTTATAAAATCCACGTTTATAGTCCTTTATAAAATCCACGTTTATAGTCCTTTATAAAATCCACGTTTATAGTCCTTTATTAAAATCCACGTTTATAGTCCTTTATAAAATCCACGTTTATAGTCCTTTATAAAATCCACGTTTATAGTCCTTTACTAAATCCACGTTTATATCCTTTATAAATCCACGTTTATAGTCCTTTATAAAATCCACGTTTATAGTCCTTTATAAAATCCACGTTTATAGTCCTTTATAAAATCCACGTTTATAGTCCTTTATAAAATCCACGTTTATAGTCCTTTATAAAATCCACGTTTATAGTCCTTTATAAAATCCACGTTTATAGTCCTTTATAAAATCCACGTTTATAGTCCTTTATAAAATCCACGTTTATAGTCCTTTATAAAATCCACGTTTATAGTCCTTTAAAAAATCCACGTTTATAGTCCTTTATAAAATCCACGTTTATAGTCCTTTATAAAATCCACGTTTATAGTCCTTTATAAAATCCACGTTTATAGTCCTTTATAAATCCACGTTTATAGTCCTTTATAAAATCCACGTTTATAGTCCTTTATAAAATCCACGTTTATAGTCCTTTATAAAATCCACGTTTATAGTCCTTATAAAATCCACGTTTATAGTCCTTTAAAAAATCTTTAAAAAATCCACGTTTATAGTCCTTTATAAAATCCACGTTTATAGTCCTTTATAAAATCCACGTTTATAGTCCTTTATAAAATCCACGTTTATAGTCCTTTATAAAATCCACGTTTATAGTCCTTTATAAAATCCACGTTTATAGTCCTTTATAAAAATCCACGTTATAGTCCTTTATAAATCCACGTTTATAGTCCTTTATAAAATCCACGTTTATAGTCCTTTATAAAATCCACGTTTATAGTCCTTTATAAAATCCACGTTTATAGTCCTTATAAAATCCACGTTTATAGTCCTTTATAAATCCACGTTTATAGTCCTTTATAAAATCCACGTTTATAGTCCTTTATAAAATCCACGTTTATAGTCCTTTATAAAATCCACGTTTATAGTCCTTTATAAAATCCACGTTTATAGTCCTTTATAAAATCCACGTTTATAGTCCTTATAAAATCCACGTTTATAGTCCTTTAAAAAAAATCCACGGTTATAGTCCTTTATAAAATCCACGTTTATAGTCCTTTATAAAAATCCACGTTTTAGTCCTTTATAAAATCCACGTTTATAGTCCGTTTATAAAATCCACGTTTATAGTCCTTTATAAAATCCACGTTTATAGTCCTTTATAAAATCCACGTTTATAGTCCTTTATAAATCCACGTTATAGTCCTTTATAAATCCACGTTTATAGTCCTTTATAAATCCACGTTTATAGTCCTTTATAAAATCCCCGTTTATAGTCCTTTAAAAAATCCACGTTTATAGTCCTTTATAAAATCCACGTTTATAGTCCTTTATAAAAATCCACGTTTATAGTCCTTTATAAAATCCACGTTATAGTCCTTATAAAATCCACGTTTATAGTCCTTTATAAAATCCCACGTTTATAGTCCTTTATAAAATCCACGTTTATAGTCCTTTAATAAAATCCACGTTTATAGTCCTTTGAAAAATCTTTAAAAAATCCACGTTTATAGTCCTTTGAAAAATCTTTAAAAAATCCACGTTTATAGTCCTTTAAAATATCTTTAAAAATCCACGTTTATAGTCCTTTAAAATATCTTTAAAAATCCACGTTTATAGTCCTTTAAAATATCTTTAAAAATCCACGTTTATAGTCCTTTAAAATATCTTTAAAAAATCCACGTTTATAGTGCTTTAAAAAATCTTTAAACAATCCACGTTTTATAGTCCTTTAAAAAATCTTTAAAATTCTTTAAAAAATCCACGTTTATAGTGCTTTGAAATACCTTTAAAAAATCCACGTTTATAGTGCTTTGAAATATCTTTAAAAAATCTACGTTTATATTGCTTTAAAAATCTTTAAACAATCCACGTTTATAGTCCTTTAAAAAATCTTTAAAAAATCCACGTTTATAGTCCTTTAAAAAATCTTTAAAAAAATTATTGTCCTTTAAATGTCCTTTAAAAATTCTTTAAAAATCCAAGTTTCTAGTCTTTTAACAATTGTTTAAAAATCACATTTTTATGCCTTTGAATATCCTTTAAAAATTGTTTAAAAATTCACATTTTTATGCCTTTGAATATCCTTTAAAAATTGTTTAAAAAATCCAAAGCAAATGAAAAGTGACAGCTCTAAGCAACTTGGTTTATTTCCAATAACAAAACCAATAACATTGGCTTCTATGACAACCAAAACCGATAAAATTCTAATTCGAAAATAAACCAATAATATTGATTTTCACGACACCAAAGCATTTTGTCTTGTCGTTTTTAAAACCAATAGTGACAAAATTGGTTTCTAAGACAGCCCTGAATATTTATCTCAACTTGAGTTATTTGAAAAAGTTGGGGCTACTAAAAATATAAAGCTTTTAAAGGTTCAACATATTTTCCTCTGTTTTTTTAGTTTTAATTGTTAAATTTTAATATCCATTGTCTTTCGAACCCATGTCGGTTTCCATTTCATCTTAACCCGATTAAGTTCTATAAATCAATGTTTATATCGACTAGATCGCTTGGTTTACTGGAAAACAAATTTGGAATGTTTGTCCCTACGTTGGGCGCCATATAAATCATTTATTACTTTTACCAAGTGTCGAATATCTGTGCGTACTGTTTGAATTCCAATTAATTTTTCCATTTTCAGGTTAGTACGTTTCGACCCCTTGTTGGGCGCCATTCTTCCCTAATTCCACTTATTTTAATAATTCTTAATTAAATTCCACTTCTTTCAAAACTTATGCCATTTTTTCCTTCCTTTCAGATTCTGGAAGCCAAAACCGTTTGTGCCATTTTCAAGGACAACCTCACGCTCTGCAATGAAGTCACCGACAAAGTTGTACAACATTTTGTCCATTGCATCGAGATACATGGACGCCATGTGGTATATTTACAATTCTTGCAAACCATTGTCAAGGCTGAGAATCAGTTTATACGCAAATGTCAGGATATGGTTATGCAGGAACTGATCAATGCCGGCGAAGAGGTTTTGGTATTCTACAATGATAAATCATCGTTCAATCAGCTGGTTCACATGATGCAAACCCAGAAGACACCACTGTCCGATGATAGTCCCTTGAAGTATCATGTAGAATTGGTAAAGCTCTTGGCCTGCTGTACCATGGGTAAAAATTTGTACACCGAGATCAAGTGTAACAATTTGCTGTCGCTGGATGATATTGTGGCGGTCATCTGCCATCCGGCCTGCATACCGGAGGTCAAGGAGGCCTATGTGGATTTCTTGAACCACTGCTACATTGATACCGAGGTGGAGATGAAAGAGATCTATTCCTCGGGTCACATGTGGAATTTGTTCGAGAAAAGCTTTATGGTCGACATAAATTTGTTGATCAATACCGGCATCAATGCCGACAAGACCCTCATCAACTATGTGCTGAATGGCATCTGCACCATTCTGGCCAGCTTTTTCAGTAGCCCCTTTTCCGATCAGAGCACCATAGTACAGTCTAGACAAATGATATTCGTACAATTACTGCAAGTCTGCTATCGTTTATCTCAATGCAAATGGTTGAGTCTGGCTGATCGCTTTAATGTCGAAAATTGTATACGTACTTTGGCTGAGTCGGCAAAGACACGCAGCATCGCCATACCGCTGGATCTGGAACAGCAAGTGGTGACCATGTCGAGCAAAACGGCTCTGCTGACCAGGCAGACCACCAAATGGCTATTAGCCTCGAAACAGCCAAAATATGAGACACAGCATTCGGCCAATTTAATGCGATTAGACAGGTCCATTATCGAGGGCTTGCAGGATATTGTCTCACTGCTGGAGGATCAATTGAAACCAGTGGTGGAAGCAGAATTGTCACTGTTGGTGGATATATTGTATCGATCGGAATTGTTGTTCCCCCAGGGAACGGAGGCAAGAAAAAGATGTGAATCGGGAGGTTTCATTAGGAAACTGATCAAGCACACGGAGAAGTTGTTGGAGGAAAAGGAGGAGAAATTGTGTGTGAAGGTTTTGAAAACCCTGAGGGAAATGATGGCCATTGATGTGAATTATGGAGAGAAGGGAGATGCCTTGAGGAGTACGCTGCTGAAACGTTATTTCGATATAAAGCCTTCGAATACTTCAAGGACGCCAGTGGAGCCTAAGACGGATATTTTGTCACTGACCCAGGATCCGCAAAAACAGCATTTGAACTTGGTGACCCATGGTCCGGGGGCAAAGTATTTGCAAAGAGCCGAAAAAACTCTACACGAAGTCCAAAATCATTTGGATCGTGAGGGTGCCTCAGATTGGTTATCGAATTGGTTATTAAGTCAGTGCATAGTCCCTCAATTTTCGTGGAGGCCATTGAACTGGGTATTGCTTTGCTGGAGGGTGGTAATCCAATCATTCAAAAGGGCATGTACACCAAATTCCTGAGCGGAGATCTCAATCAGGCCTTCTTCAAGGTCTTTTTCGATAAAATGAAGGATTCCCAACAGGAAATCAAATCCACGGTCACAGTGAACACCTCCGACATTGCGGCCAAGGCCCATGAAAGTAAACAGGATGTGAATTTGGAATTGGATAAAATCTCAAGGAAACATGGCGTGAAAACCAATGGGGTGGTCATAACCGATGAGTTGAGGAAGGAGCTGCACAATGCCGGACTGGCCACAGCCAGGGCATTTAGCAACGCCCGCAATTTGCATGCCGGAGAGGATTCCAATTCCCTAAATCTCAACAGTCCCTTCGATGATATTCTGGCGGAGAAATTGGAAAAACACAAGGACAACAAAGAGGATCGCAATAAATTGTCCAACAAGGTCTTGGTTATGCAGCCCATACTCCGATTCATGCAATTGCTTTGTGAAAATCACAATCCTGATCTGCAGAATCTGCTGAGGAATCAAAACAACAAAACCAATTATAATCTGGTGTCGGAAACTCTCATGTTTTTGGATTGCATTTGTGGTTCGACAACGGGCGGCTTGGGCCTGCTCGGCCTCTATATCAACGAAAATAATGTGGCTCTCATCAATCAGACACTGGAAACCCTGACTGAGTACTGTCAGGGTCCTTGTCATGAAAATCAAAATTGTATTGCCACCCATGAATCAAATGGTTTGGATATTATCACAGCCCTGATACTCAATAACATTAATCCGCTGGGAGAGAATCGCATGGATTTGGTATTGGAATTGAAAAATAATGCCTCAAAACTGTTGCTGGCCATTATGGAATCGAGGGGAGATGGTGAGAATGCGGAGAGGATTCTCTACAACATGAATCCCAAACAATTGGTTGATGTTGCCTGTAAGGCCTATCATCAGGAGGAAATGATCGATGATCATGATGGCGATGAGGATGGTGTGGCGGCGGAACATGATGACGACGATGATGTGTCGGTAAGTCCACGCGAGGTGGGTCACAACATCTACATACTGTGTCATCAGTTGGCCCAACACAACAAGGAATTGGCCAGTTTGCTCAAGGTCTCCGAAGATCCACAGTCTCCCAACTATGATGCCAAAATGAGTCAGGCATTGATGTATTATGCCACGCACACTGCTCAAATTGAAGTGAGTATGAGGCGAACGCGCTCTCACTCTCTCTTCTCATTGAGAAAATGACTAAAATTTCTCTCTTCTCCTTTCAGATTGTTCGCCATGACCGAACATTGGAACAAATTGTCTTTCCCATACCCGAAATCTGCGAATACCTGACCACAGATACCAAAATGAAAATATTCCAAACGGCTGAGCGCGATGACCAGGGTTCCAAAGTGGCGGATTTCTTTGATAAGGCTGAGGAAATGTTTAACGAAATGAAATGGCAAAAGAAACTGAGAGGTAAGAGAAGACAGTTTTGAAAATTTAAATTATTAATATATTCTCTTCGAATTTTTTTCCAGGTCAACCATTCCTATTTTGGGTCAGCAGTTACATGTCCCTCTGGAGTAATATTTTATTCAATTGCGTTGTTGTTATTAATATAATTGTTGCATTTTTCTATCCCTTCGATAACACTGTGCCTGGTAAGTCGACAAAATAATCGATATATTTTCAAATACCTATTTAGAAATAGGATTTGATATCGAAGTAACGAAACGTAGCTCTTGATATGGGAGAGGCTCCTACTTCACATTGTGGTATAAATTTTGATCAGTAGAGGGTGTTTAGTAACATTGCAGCCATCTTCTGGCAAATTATCTTTCGAGACGAACTTAATGGAATCTGGAATTTATGCCAGGGAAGAGAGATGCCAGAGAAACACTATGACGCACTCAAAAATATCCAAAGACGTGAAAGACATAGTCCCCAGCGAGTCCACGTCTTCGTCGTCCTCATCAGAGACGTCGTCGGAATATGGAATTCCACCGCAGTCTCCCGAACAGCAACCAATACCGCAGCATCTTACGCCGCATGTTGCTGTTCCAACTCCGGATTGTGTCTCCGAGGCGAAATAGATGATATAGTGGAATTTATGAATCGGGTGAATATAAAGACTGCAGCGGTGCAGGATAACAAGCTGAATGAAAATTGTAGCCTACAACGTTGCTTGCAACGAATTGAGGAAGGATCGCACCAGAAGTGGAGATGGGGGATTAGCGTTCCTGTTACAACATTCTGTTCAGTACAGACCTATCTCACTTAAGCTAGTCTCTAGTGACCCATGCTACCTAGTCAAGTGTGGTACTGCCGAGGTAGAGGTGCTTAATACGTATATCCCTATATCCGATTAATAGCTATGAACCTCGTTATTTGCCAGATATTAGCCCATTGTTGGTAGGCAATAACCACCTGGTACTAGGGGATAATAATAAAGCCCACCATGAGTTGTGGCATTCCGTCCTAGGTATTGACCAGAGGGGATCAGCGCTGGCAGATCTTATCGACTGCTCCACATTCTGCACGGTAAACGAGGATGCCCCCACCCGAATAAATGACGTCTGATAAATGACGTGACTTGGCGACCCGTCATTGTTCTTGGCTCAGACCATCCATTCCGATAATCGTTTCCATAAGCAGGTCGCATGATTTCATAAATTTTGAACGCCGCACTTTCCTTAACCATGGGTAAACTCACTGGCCAAAGTTCAGAGAATTCACCAGAGAACTGCCCAACCTTTTTGATGTTCGGGTAACGCAGAAAGATTTTCCGAAACATCATCAAAGCTGCAGCCGCTCGCTATATACCTGCTGGTCGAATACGAAGACTGTGTCACAGTTCGCCAGACTTAACCATAGTGTCACCCGGTCTGATAAATGACGTGACTTGGCAAACCGTCATTTTTCTTGGCTCAGACCATCCATCCCGATAATCGTCTCCATAAGCAAGTCGCATGATTTCATAATCTTTGAACGCCGCACTTTCCTTGACCATGGGAAAGCTCACTGGCCAGAGTTCAGAGAATTCACCAGAGAACCCTTTTGATGTTCGGGTAGCGCAGAAAGAATTTTCCGAAACATCATCAAAGCTGCAACTGCTCACTATAAAGCTGCTGGTCAAATACCCAAGATAAGACCATATTTCCCAGCAGAGGCAGTGGGATAAATAAATGAGCGTGATGATCTCCGTCGTTCCAACTCTACTGATCCCAGAATCAGTGATTTGGCAGTGGAAGTCAGCCGGTTGATACAGCAGCGAGCATAAGAGGAAAAAGTGCCTAGACCATCTAAAGTTTTGCAGCATTGGAACCGATATGAGTAAGCTGTGGGTAAGGGTTAAGTCGCTCTAGAACCCGGAAAAAAATGGTAGGACCTCAGTCACTTTTAAGGACGTAACGGTGACTGATCCAAAGAGGTGAGCCGTGTATTTTAATCAAAATATGCGAAGACGTGAAAGATGTAGTCCCCAGCAAGTCCACGTCTTCGTCGTCCTCATCAGAGTCGTCGTCGGAATATGAAATTCCACTGCGGTCTCCCGAACAGCAACCAATACCGCAGCATCTTACGCCACATGTTGCTGTTTCAACTCCGGATTGTGCCCCCGAGGCAAAATAGATGAAATAGTGAAATTAATGAATCGGAAGAATATTAAGACCGCAGCGGTGCAGGGATACCAAGCTGAATGAAAATTGCAGCCTACAACGTTGTTATGGTTACAACGAATTGGAGGAAGGATCGCACCAGAAGTGGAGATGGGGGATTAGCGTTCCTGATACAACATTCTGTTCGGTACAGACCTATGTCGCTCGTGCTAGTCTCTAGTGACCCATGCTACGCAGTCAAGTGTGGTACCGCCTAGGTAGAGGTGCTTAATATGTATATCCCGCCGAGTAATAGCTTTGAACCCCATTATTTGCCAGATATAAGCCCATTGTTGGTAGGCAATAACCGTCTGATACTAGGGGATTATAATACCCACCATGAGTTGTGGCATTCCGTCCTAGATATTTACCAACGGAGATTAGCGCTGGCAGAGCAGATTGACTGCTAAACATTCTGGACGGTAAACGAGGATCCCCCCTCTAGAATAAGAGGAGAGTGTCACAGTTCGCCAGACTTAACCGTAGTGTCACCCGGTCTGATAAATGACGTGACTTGGCAACCCGTAATTTTTCTTGGCTCAGACCATCCATCCCGATAATCTTCTCTATAAGCCGGTCGAACGATTTTGTAACCTCTGAACGCCGCACTTTCTTTAACCATGGGAAAGCTCACGGGCAGGCTTCAGAGAATTCATCAACCCTAGCTGAAAGGATTTTCCGAAACATTATCAAAGCTGCAGCCGCTCGCTATGTAGCTGCTGGTCGAATACCCAAGATAAAAACAAATTTCCCCGCAGAGACAGCGGAATTAATAACCTACTGATCCCAGAATCAGTGATTTGATAGTGGAAGTCTGCCGGTTGGTACAGAAGCATAAGAGGAAAAAGTGGCTAGACCATCTGAAGTTTTCCAACATTGGAACCGATATGAGTAAGCTGTGGGTAAGGGTTAAGTTGCTCTCGAACCCGGGAAAAAGGATGATAGAACCTCAGCCACTTTTAACGACGTAACGGTGACTGATCGGATGAGATGCGCTGAGTATTTTAAACGACAATTTGTCAAGCAGCCCGAGACAGACAGGGCGAAGAGTACTATGTCGTATCAGATATCTTCCCGCCGAGGTGAAACCACCACAGTTTACGATGGGTGATGTTGCAATTGCCATCCGGAACGCTAACCCATCCAAAGCGCTGGGACTAAACGGAATTTTATTGATAATGCTGAAACAACTGGATACGCCGGGACTTGAGTACCAGACGAAAGTTCTCCACCTGTCGCTAGTCATCCACATAGTCCCCGAAGCCGTGAACTGAAACCAGGCAAGGATTCCAGCAAAGGCGAATCGTACAGGCCGATTTCGATTTTGTCGCCAGTAGCCAAGACTCTTGAGGCTTTAATCCTCCCCAGCATTAGGGGAAACTATCCAGTTGCCAAACATCAGCACGGATTCCGTCCACAACTTAGTACCTCAACAGCATTACACGTCATTTCCTAACATATTAGTAGAGGATTGGACCAGAGTAAACCGTGTGATTGAACAGTGTTGGTAGCCTTTGACATATCAAAGGCATTTGATACGGTCAATCATGCCACACTGTTTGAGGATGTGCAGAGAACTACCCTCCGGTCAAGTTTGAAACGTTGGATAATAAAATATATGTGTGGACGTGGAATTCCGGAGTTCACCAAGGTGGGGTGCTATCTTTAACCTCTACCTTTCCGGAATTCCTAGCCCTACAGACGGAATAGAGATCGTAACATATGACCCATGCGCATGACTTAACGATCATGGCGTCGGACCCAGTCGTCGATGACATGTGTGAAAGGTTGGACATCTATCCCGCGGAGCTTGCCGCCTAGTTCTACGCAAGGAATATGAAAATATCCACCACGAAATCAATGGCCACACCCCTTACCACATGATCGAATGAGAGCTGAATGTGCATGTCGAGGAAAATATAAAACCAACCACCAGTCACTCCAAGATCCTCGGGGTCACATTCGACAGCATGTTTAAGTCGTCCTCACAAGCCCCAGCTATTTGCGGCGTCAAGGCGGCAGCACTTGGGGTGCGGACAAGAAGACCTTGTAGGCGTCTTTTAATGCGATAAAGCGGTCTGCGAAGGTTTACGCAGAGGAATAATATCCAGACCGGCCAGAATGTAGCCCTGAGAACTGCGACATGGTGACCCCTCATTACACTAGTGGACCATCCAAAGAGAAGGAGATGGTCCTAATCGTACGTCAACATAACCATATGCTTTCGTTGCAGTACCCGTTTGGGTGCTATCGTGCCAGTCATCCAAACCATCATATGGTGGATAATACTCTCCCACCTTGGCATGTCATGAAGGACATACATGATCTAGAGAGGGAAGAGGAGCTAAAAGAGATAGCCTCAACATTAAGAAGGCCATCACGCAAGTCTGAGTGGCATTCATACGGAAGCAGTCAGAGATGCCATCAATAATTATAATAAGAATGCCGTCCTCGGAGTCCATATTATATTTATTAAAAAGCAAGTGTCTGTGATGACGTCTCGGAATATTTGTTCTGCCACTTAATCATCCGAAGAGTCTGGAGTTTCTCAAAAAAAGACGTTTGACTCAATTAAAAATTTTTTGGTTAAGTGCCGCTTTTATTTTTATAAAAAAAAATCGGAAAATCTGCTAATGGATACAGTTATGAAGAAAACATTTAGGTTTTAAGTTGGCGGACAACGTAGGACCTTTTGGAAAATCAAACTGTCGCATAGTTCGGGATTTGATCCGATTTTGGCTCAAATCTCAAAAGCTTTAAAAATATTTTGCTGTCAAAACAAATGCATAGACTAGGGATGGCGAAACCGGGCTTAAGTTGTCTCGAATAAATTCGGTATTGTAAATTTTTCGAACCTAATTGAGATTCCTATACACCTCATCACTTTCTTATCTGCACTGCGAATTTCAATGCCATATTTCAGCCAGCTTCTAGACGTATAATTTGCTAGGCCCTATTAAAAATGTCCACAAATAAATTCTTATATAACTCTCCCTAATTTTTTTCGCTCTTCATTTCAGAACTAAGCTCTCATATTTCCTTACTATTCTGGGCCATAATGATATTTTCACTAGTGATAGTGGTGACTTTGCCACGAGAATCGGGTATACGAACGTTAATCGGGTCAATAATATTACGATCGATATTTTTGCTGGGGCCAGAGTCAACGTTGTGTCTGCTGGGTGTGGTGACGGTAAGAAGAGTAGTTTCAATTAATGTTCCTTCCATTCTAAAAGTAATTTTTCTATCCCCCCTAGGTAACGCTGAAAAGTGTCCACATCATCAGTATAATGGGCAACAAGGGTACACTGGAGAAACATTTCTTGAAAATTATCACCGATTTTCAACTGTTATACCATTGTATCTATATATTCTTTTGTTTTTGTGGTCTGATCTTTCATCCGTTCTTCTATTCGCTGTTGGTAAGAAAGCTTAAAATTTCGAATTTTTGATAATTTCGATAATTTTATAATTTCCAATTTCAGCTCTTCGATGTGGTCTACCGTGAGGAGACTCTGGTGAATGTTATACGCTCGGTAACCCGTAATGGACGCTCAATTGTCTTGACAGCTGTGCTGGCCTTGATTTTGGTTTATTTGTTCTCCATAATTGGTTATATGTTCTTCCGTGATGATTTCTTGCTGGAAGTCGATGTGGATCATGTTGAAAATGGTAATCTCTTGATTTTACTGATTTTTTTAGCTTTTAAATTTTATTTTTTATATTTTCCAGCGGTGGAAGCAGCCACTCTATCGGTTAACCCGGACAGCACTTGTTCCACACCCGATAGTTTGGAGAACCCGAAATTGATCACAACCGGTGATGGTGAAGTCAAAGAACGCTCATGTGATTCCTTGGTGATGTGCATTGTGACCACCCTAAATCAAGGTCTGAGGAATGGTGGCGGTATTGGTGATATTTTGAGGGCGCCATCTAGTAAGGTAAGCGGATAAAACGACAAATTTTTAGGACGAGAAAAAGAGGGAAATTAATCCTAGTAAATTAAAAGAACTTTGTAGCTGAGTGTGATTCACAATTTATGCCGATTTTAGGTAATTTCAGAACATTTGTGTTCATTATTAAGCAGATAATGCATAAGTTGCCGACTTCTTTGTTCTTCTACGAAAATGATGATTTATGCAAAAAAATCTCTTTTTTATCAGCACCTTTTACTGCACTGTTTGAATACTCTAGAGTGGCGCCCAATATGATTGCGTTAATGCTCGACTAGCGAGTTACTGCATTATTGACATTAGTACTTACAATCTCTGTGAATTTTGTGGAACTACTGAAATTCTAGCCTCCAACTATAGCATCTGGTACAAATCGGTTCCTTCTGATATTAAAACTGCCTCTGCTTCTCCAAGTTGAAAAAGGAGGAGACCTGTATATGTTCAGTCCATAGTAACATTGTGATTAGTTATGTAGGTTGGATTGGGCAATTAGAGAAGTGCCGCTTGTCATGTTGTCCTATGCTAGATGCCTGGGAGGTGTCCTCCGTTGGCTGCCCGTCCTAATCTCAGTTCAAACCAAAACAACTCTGTTTTGTCGGAAATCTCTCGTTTATCGCAGGATTGGTTTCAAATGATCTCCACGGACGGTATTTACTTCGAATTCTTCTTTTGCTGCTATGGCCGTGTCAGAGTGTTAAATGGACCTGTAATCTTGAGGTTATTTTCTGTGTTGCTAAACCTCTCTCTTTCTCTGTAGATCAAAAGTCTTTCCTTAAATGTCTGGGCGTAAGTTACCTATGTACCAGGTGATTAGGATGGATATGTTTGTAAAACCCTCTTCTGGTGATCGACATATGTCATGGGGGGTCATCCTGTTGCTGTCTGATAAAATGAAATATCCCTTAAGCCGCATACTTTACCACTCACCGGCCATTTTTGTCATAAGACGTCTAGAAGGTTTTCTTATCAGCTCCCCAAAAGATGCCAGCAAGTAGCTTAGGAACCTGGTTCCTTCTTCTTATCGCAGATAACTGTGACATGCGCGAACAATTTGACCAGGCTATCGAATGTGACCCAAAGACCTAGTTAGTATTCGTTATTAAGAAACTATCGACCTCCACACTTGTTTTAGGTCGTATCTCCGTTGTCCGTTTTGTGAATGTTGTGGTCCTCTCATATTTCGACCGATCGAAAATGTCATCAATAATCCAGGTCCAGACACCATTATTAATTATCTTAACACCTCCTGGGGTACAACATTGGGGGGTCTCCCTCCCTAACTCTACCGATCTTCGACTTCTTGTTTCCGAATTCAACGCACGACTGGCGCCCAAATAGATAACTGACAACCCAACGTTTCAAAATTGACTGGGGTATTAGTTTTGATTGAATCTCCTGCCAATATGTGTGAAAAGGGTGGGAGTGCTGTGCTTTTAAGAAATACATGGTAATTATGGGTTACTGGAAAACTATTGATGCTACTGAGGAGGAGTAAATGCTCATGTATTTTCCTTACTGGCATCAAACTTTAGAATAAGTTTAGATTTGTTCGAATTGGTCACCTTTGGCACGAATTATGGCCTACAAACGGCCAATGAAACCGTCACACGCTGCCCGAATGTTGCTCTGCGGTATTTTGACCCAAAAAAGTCCAACGGCTTGGTATCCGGAGATTTTGGGGGCCATTATGCGCTGGAAATTAAGCGAGGAACCTCATTTTGTAACCATTCTTGGGTGGCGTGTGCTGAATGCGATGGTGCTGAGTCCTGTTGGAATGTCCAAGGTCTGCGGTCAAAATGTTTGCGTGCCCAAGGCTTTAATACACCCTTCAGAATATTTTCGCCATAATATTTGGCATTTATTCTGATGCCACGATCGATTAATACGAGCGGAGAGCGACCATCGGCTGTTATGGCTGCCCACACCATTACCATGGCCGGCGCTTGAGTTCTTTTTTTTTGGTGGCCAACCGAAGGTGCACAATTTCAGCTGACCTCTGGCAAGTAACGACGATAATTTTGTTTGTTTACAAACTGCTGGACAACAAATGTTTTCTCATCGGAAAAAACCAAATTCTGCAGTTCACCATTTTCGGCCAAGCGAAGCAACTCTTTAGCTCTATTGAGTCTATTTTCTTTCCGTTGCGATGTAAGTTCTTGCACTTTTTGGAATTTCAAAGGCTTTATCCCGAGCTCTTGTTCCAATATTTGCCGAATGGAATATTGCGATATGTTCAGCTCACGAGCCATTTTTCGACCACTGCGACGCGGTCTTCGATCAAGTCGCTTCTTTACATTTCTATCCATTTCTGCTGTTGCTGTTTTCTTCCGTAACGAGCGATGGTATGAGACACAAAAGATTTATTCTCATTTTAATGCTGGAGTTGTCTAACGATAGCCACTTGTGCTTTTCCAGCCAAATATAAAGAAATCACACTATCACGCTTGAATTCCATCACGAATAACTTTCTTTTCTGGAAAATTCTCACCAAAATGCTTTTGTACACTTGTAAACAATCTAATGAGCTGTCACTGGAATAATTTTAACAGCTGTCGTACGAGTGGCTTAGAAATGACAGCAGTCTGAAGTTAGTTGCGGTTTTTTCATCTCACCCTGTACTTATGTCCTTCCCGTAACTCTTAACGTAAAGTAAATTAAAGTGAGAGTACATAAAAAGCTTTCTTGACTGGCTTAAGTCATCGGCTGGTTTCTTCGTAGAGGAAAAATTAGTTTCAGGTTGACTTAGTTCGATTTTGGCCCTACGATCCTTTGTTCTTTTCCGAAGAAGCCAGCCGATGACTTAATCCAGCCAAATAAGCGCTTTATGTATTTCCACCTTTAGTCATCGGCTGGATTCTTCATAGAGGAATAAAGTTGTTTCAGGTTGACTTAGTTCAATTTTGGCCCTACGCTCCTTTGTTCTTTTCCGAAGAGGCCAGCCGATCGACTTAAACCGGTCAAAAGATCGTATGTATGTATTCTCACACTGTCGCTTTTCGAAGCGTAGGAGCTTTTCCAAATATTTTTGAGAGGATACCATAATTGTAATTTTTTCCACAAAGGAAATCTCGCTGTCGACAAAATCTTTAAAAGACTCCCTAAAATCATTAGCAGACTCCACAATATGTACTCCACAAAATAAGAATCACTACATCCACCACAATTGTTTTCTGCTGCCTCCCGATTTTTTTTTCGTATAAAACTGATTGTTGTTTTACAAGTCCCGTATAAAGGTGAGAATACATAAGACGCTTTTTTGACTAGTTTAACTAATTGTGGGACAAAGAAGTTTTAGATTGACTAAGTTCGATTTTGGACCTATGCTCCTTTATTCTTTTCAGAAGAAGCGTTTTATGTATTCTCACTTTAATTTGGTTTGCTAATACTTTTACTTTACAAGCTCATCACTCTGTCGCATTAAAGGTGAGAATACATAAACAGCTTGAAGTCTTCGCATGTCATATTTTGTGACATATCATGAGGGGATATCAGAGCTGCACTCGAATTCTGCCGTCGTTTCCCTTCATAAATTGGCATTAATAAGCCTAGCCATGATGCCAAGCTGCTTATGTACCCTCACCTTAATACATTTTTTAATTTGCAAATTCGTTTACGTCTTTATGTCAACATTTTTCACTACCTTCAAAATTGTACACTTGACAACAATTAGAAGAGTAAGGAAAAACCATGGCAGAAGAATACAGGTAGATGCATCAACACTTGGGAGTATTGATATGTCAAAAAAAAATTTAAATGTTTTTTCAAAAATAAGTAGATTTATATATGCTTTCTTATACTACGTCATTCGGAGGCTATTATAATTTGCGTTTTTCAACAATTTTTACAAATTTAAATAATTTTTCATTCAACATTTTCAATTCCAAAAATGGTTTGACAGTTCATTGTCCAAGCAGCTGTGTTGACGCGTCTACCTATATTATTCTACCATGGGAAAAACGAAGAAGAAGAGTTTGTCACCTGTCATTGTTTATGCTTCTTCTTAGTGGGAGAAAAATAAAACTTGTAGACAAAGTGTTGACAAAGTCTCAAAATTTCATATCTCATAAAAAGTTTTAACCCCAAACTTCCTAAGGAGTTCTTACAAAACATCGCCTAACAAACATCCCTATATGCATATGCATATTATAACTTTAATAATGTAATTTTCTCTTTCTTTCCACTTTCAGGAGGGTCTTTTCGCTGCACGTGTCATCTACGATCTGCTCTTCTTCTTCATTGTCATCATTATTGTTTTGAATTTGATTTTCGGTGTCATTATCGACACATTTGCCGATCTGAGAAGTGAGAAACAACAAAAGGAATTGATACTTAAGAATACCTGTTTCATTTGCGGTCTCAATCGTTCGGCTTTTGATAATAAAACGGTTAGCTTCGAGGAACACATCAAGTCGGAACATAATATGTGGCATTATTTGTACTTCATTGTACTGGTCAAGGTGAAAGATCCCACAGAATTCACAGGGCCGGAAAGTTATGTTTATGCCATGGTTAAGGCAGGCATATTGGATTGGTTCCCTCGCCTAAGGGCTATGTCTTTGGCGGCCGTCGATGCTGATGGTGAGCAGATTGAATTGCGTAGCATGCAGGCCCAGTTGCTGGAGACGCAAATGTTAATCACCAATTTGTCACAACAATTGCACGAACTCAAGGATCACATGACGGAGCAGAGGAAACAGAAGCAGCGTTTGGGTTTGTTGAACACGACGGCCAGCAGTTTTATGACGGGCTATCAGTTTCAGTGAATGACCACCTTAGGAATTGACTAGAAATAAAAAGCGACCCAAAAATTATGTGGGTTTCCCCCTAAACGATTTCTACATGTAAAGCGGTTTCTGTTTTTCTTTTTCGATTTTTGAAATTGGACGATGATGTTTTTCTTTTTTTTAATTGACGTATTTATTTTATAAAGTAAATAGTTTTAGATTAAGGTCTGTTTTGCTATGATGAACGAAGGTTTAAAGCAGGTTTGTCGCAAATTCACATATGTAAAATTTGCCAGAAAGAGAAATGAGTTTTTAGGAGAGAGGGCCAGGAGAAAAAGTGACATTCAACTCTCTTCTTTCTCACAAAACTCTGTTTTCTTTTCCGTAATATTTTCTAGTGTGTTTGCCGACTTTGTTTTGATTTCCAAAAGTGATGCCCAGACAGCTTTCGTTTCTCATGGCAAAAGAGACACAAAAAGTGTTTTGTAGGGATATATAGATCGATATTGGATTGAGGCGATTAAATGACTTTTTATGTGAAGAAAAATACAAATGAAACAGAATATTCTACAAAAATTGATTAAGGATGTAAATTTGACACTTTTTTCTCTCTCTCTCTTCCTCTATCTCTTTCTTTCTCCTATTAATTCATTTAATTCTAAACTCCAACGTTTTAAAATACGCGTTTTGACCCATAATAGAGGGAATTGACAAACTAAATGGCGCGTTTTATTAAAACTGGTTTGATGTAATTATAAAATCTGTTGCATTATGTGCGGGAATCTTAAGGTGAGAACACATAAAAGGATTTTTTGACTGCCTTAAGTCATCGACTGTTTTTTTCGGAAAAGAACCAAGGAGTCTTAGGGTCTCACTGAAAGTGAGAATCAGCAAATTTTTGTTTGCCCAAAATTCTGCAACGAAAGGAAACTATTTAAAATCTACGAAAGGTACAAGGACTTACAATTAATTTTAAAAACCTTTTCGCCAGAAAATTTCGTCGAACTATCAAACTTCATTCACAAATGCAATCTTCAACTCTGATTTTCTCTAACTGTGAGATAGCAGAAATATAAACAAAACAAAGAATACGATTATTAAGTAATCAAAAACCAAGTAGCTCTTGGTATATGTGTACTTCGGGTACCTGCCAATCATGACGAAGAACGAGAAAGATAATCAAAAAAAAAGTAGTCTATGGCCAAAATCGATCTAAGTCAACCTAAAACTCCTTTGTTCCTCTACGAAGAAGCCAGCCAATGGCTTAAGCCAGTCAAAAGAGCCTTTTATGTACTTTCACCTTTACCCTTTTTACGTAGCAAAATTCAAAGGAGAATCATGTTTACACTTCTTAGTCAAAGACATAGAAGTATAAAGATGGGACAAGACAGAGTCAAAATATTGTCACCAGGTGTAAATGCCTCTGTTGTTACGATATCATAACAACATAATCACCAATGTTAAGTTGCTTTAACAGCAAATGCAATATTCAAACGCCAGTGAAATGCAATTTTTAGTTCAAATTTTTGGTTTACAGAAAATTTTATTCTTAAAATTGCTCGGTAAATATAATTTTTATGCTAACATGTCACTGTTGTGAGCAGCGCCTCTATATATTTTTCACATTAACTATTTTTCCATTATGCATTTTGTCCAGTCTTTACCATTTTAGGTCTTTGTCTTAGTTTTGCAAATTTTACCACTTACAGAAATAAAGAACAATAACCTTAACCCATTTCGCTCCTCTGTTCGTTTTTTTTTTTTTTTCGAACAGTAAAAAAAAACTCTTTTTCAAAAAATATTTATGTATGAAAAGGGTAACATTTCAAACTAATTTTTATGTTGGCAGCAAAAGTCTTCTGTCAGTAATTAAAAAAAAAGAAACCTGAAAAATATTCCTCTCCCCCTCGGTGGTAGGCGTACATTTCTGAAACCCATATTTTGGGATACTTTTTCAATTAATTTTAAAAAATAAAAAAAATTAAAAAAATTGTAAAAGTAATGACGAGGAATTGGTTTGCATGCACAAGCGTGGCTTTAAATATATGTAATCTTGACTGTTTGAAATTTCGAACACTGGTTCCCGGAAAAAACGGAAAAATCAGAAAATTTTTCTGAGTAAATCAGTGGTCCCAAATTACGAAAAAAGTAAACTTTTTCAAAAATAAAAATTAAATCTCTGACCGAAATGGGTTAATTTTTTAGAGAAAAATCTAAGGGTGAGAATTCATAAAACGTTTTTTGACTGGCTTAAGTCATCGGCTGACTTCTTCGTAGAGGAAAAAATAGTTTTAGGTTGACTTAGTTCGATTTTGGTCCTAAGATCCTTTGTTCTTTTCCGAAGAAGCCATCCGATGACTTAAGCCAGTCAAAAAAGGTTTTTCGGAAGATTTGTCAAACTTTCTTATTTTTTACTTTTTCACTTATTACATAAAAAGTCACATTCTCGTTCTAATACCAAAATTGATTCAAAAAAAAGTGTTTTCTCCCATTGTTGTATATCCTTAGTGTCTTGAATATAACGCAATTATTTTTTTTATACATATTTTCATTTCTAAATAACAAATTGTGATCTATATTATTATTATTGTTTTAATAGTAATTTTAAATGAATCTTATCTAACCTCAATATACATACATTTTTGCAACATAGTACTTTAAACTTAACCTCATTTTAAAGCAATATCTCTATAATAATACTGGATATATTTTCATATAGATACAACTTAAGGTGGAAGGCCAGTGGGGAACCGAAAAGTTGATTCCTTAAAAATTATTTTTCTAAAACAAAACCTTTTTTTAGCATTTAAAAGCCATGTGATAAAACGCATTGATATGTCAACAACTTTTAAATGTTTGTTCAAACATAGGTCGATTTTTATACGTTTTCTTATTCGACGGCAATCGTTGGTTGTTATGATATGCATTTTCAACAATTTTTACAAATTTGAACAGTTTTTTATTCAAACTACTGAATTACGAAATTGGGTTGACAGTTCATTGTAGCAGCAGCTGAGTCGATGTGACTACCTCATGGATTTGATTTAACGATAATCGACTTACGGATCCCTAGCTTCCCCAACTTTTCTATAATAGTTAAACTTCAGTTTATTCTTTGTCTCTTTTTGTTAGCTTTTCTCAGTACGCCAAAGAGAAAAATAAGTTCAAAATTAAATCTATAAATGATTTGGAAAAAATAACATTCTGTTGCTCAAATATTCTTTGCTGGCCTTCCACCATTATTAGTCTTTTTCCTATCAACCCTTGCTCTCTTTCCCTCTCTTTTTGTTAAAAAATGTACATCACCATGAAAACTGTTATACTAAAACTAGCATTTATAAACAATTGTTTAACAATTTAGTTACAAAAACCAATTATAATCTTTTTTTAAATAATCGATCGATGGCAATGCATATAAGGATTTTAGTCTTTATATAATATCTTATATATTTAAAAAAAAACAAAACTTAACAATAAATAAATAAAAAAAAAAACTCTTTTAAATGTAAGTTATATACTATTTTCAATTATTATTCATTAAATATATATGCAAAATCACAAAAACTTTAAGAAAGGAGCACTTTATTGCAAAAGTTTCAATAAAATGTAATGAAAATAAAAACAACAACAATTTTGATTTCAATGCAGCGGAGGATTTTCCAGAATCATACTAAACCTAAAAATGTTCCAGATTTAAAAAGCAGAGAATGTATGGCCTTAAGTCTGAAATACATAATACAACTCTATACACTTGCACAGGTGTGTTATTCTTTTGTAAAGTTTACCGAAAACAATGTGGCATCACCCATAAGAATCACTTTTCTTTTAAGTAACTTTTGTACTTTTAAATAGAATTTTTGATTAGAAAAATTCAGCAACTATTACCGTTATTAAAATCATTAAAGAAATTGCAGAAAATATATATGTGTATATTCCAGTAATCTTGTGGTTACCTTGAAGCTATGACCCGTTCACAGAATGTACAGCAACATGGATGTCGGGATAAATACTTGAAAAAAAAATAATTCCTTTATTTATTCCACTCAGGAATATTTTTACTTCTACGCATAGAATCTCAAAAGTATCCGTTATTTTTAATAGTAACAAAATCAACTTGGCATCACTGTTTATCTCACAAGGTAACACTTTACCATTGTCAATGGCGACATCTATCAACTGAAGATATTGCAAATGTGATGTTATATAGTGTTATATTTTATCTAACAGATGGCGCTATACAAAACATAAAAGTGTTGCCATTTCCATTCCTTGTGATTTGTTGAAATGATGGTGAAAGTTAATTTTAAAGAAAAATGCATTTTATGGGAAGAAGAATTGAAATGTTTTTTGGCCCTCTCCTAGACATTCACTTTTCTTTTGGGGGAAATTTAGGCTTATGGATACAGAAAACAATACAAAAACGGCAATCTCCATATCTAAACAACGTTCAGACACGGTGCGATAAACAGGTAAGGTAGAGCTACCAGCTGATTACAATTATTTTCTAAGTGTGTCTGACTCCTGCCAATTTTGTGTACGTATTTATTGTTTTGAAAAATAAAGAAATATATTTTTCCACGCGCATTGAAGCTACAAACTAGTTTAGCTATATAATTGAAAGATTGAACAGTTTGGATCATATTTTTGAGAGAAAATCCTTTCATTTTTCGCGCTGTTTAATTTATTTTAGAATTGAGGAAAAATATGAAAAAAATGAAAACAACTTGTTGTGTATAATTTTGAATGAGTCTGACAGGAAGCGGGTATATCCTCAGGCATGTATTTCTGTAGTTTTACGAACTGTTCTACCCATGGTGCAATAAGCAGGTAATTCGCAAAATTACAAAAATGCACCCCTGAGGGCAAATGTGATCTAGACAGTTTGATCTTTTAAATCCATGGCAAAACTGGCAAATAGGTTTAACGCGCGTCCCGCGATGAACTTTTTTCTAATCATTAATTTTGAAAATATTTGTTTTTTTTTTTTTCAAAACAATAAATACATACACAAAATTGGCAGAAGTCGAGCACACTTTATTGTACCATGCGTTCAATTGCTATGAGAATAGCAACTGCTATTAGACAATAAGGTTTTTAAGCTGGGAATACATAAAACGCATATTTAGCTGGCTTTTTCGGAAATTAACAAAGGAGCCTAGGGCCAAAATCGAACTAAGTCAACCCAAAACTCCTTTGTTCAAAGACCTAAAATGGTAAAGATTGGACGAAGGCCTATATAAGGTCGGCCAGTAAGACCATCTGACGACCAAGTTTTCTGTCAAAATATATTTTGAATTCGCCCTATGAATACAAAAACAAAGTTGTGACGTTCTTGTCAAAAAATTCGAAATAATTTAAATTATTAAAGGAATATAAAGACAAATCTGTATAAATTATAAATAAATAGGAAATTTCGTGAATTTGAAAATGATAATTTTCCAAATATGTAAGATTTCTCTTAGATTTTTTTATTACTGCAGAATTAACAAGAACTGCTTTCAGCATGTGCTAATAGAAATTTCGCCAAGCTCTTCAATTTTTTCCAGTGTTAGGTATTTTTACCCTGATTCCGGGCAACTATTTATAAATTTTCTTGTTGGACGGACCCGGGACCCCAAATTTTTGGCCCGAAAGTCCGGACTTATGACCCGGATTCACTTACCTAATATAGACAATATAGGTATCGCTTATGCAAATACACTTGATGGGGTTATTAAAGCGGTTCAGAAGTTATAGTCAATTTACGATTTTTTAGACTCGGATTTTTTTTTTCGACAAAATTGATGCCAAATTATAGCTGACACTCTTACCTCTCCAAAAAAACTACAATTTGTGCTAATACCTTTTCCGGGTTCAAAGATATTCTCTTCTGGGTATTTTCAACCGGCTACGGGAATAAATGTTTTCTAAATTTAATAGTTGTTGTAAGTAGCCGACCTTCGGTGGTCATGTGACCACTTGTTGGATGGGTATATCCGGGTCTTGATCCTGCAATTTCGAGTCCAGGGGGTCCCGGGTCCGTCCCTAAAAGAAAAAAAATAGTTTCCGGAATCAGGGTAAAAATAACTACCTCTGGAAAAAAAAATTCGAAGTTTTTACTAAACTAGAATTGCTCCAATTGGCCACAACATTGAGGTTTTTAGTGCTAAGATCTTATTACACCAGTGTCGGAAATGACTTCAATATTTCCAAATGGTTTTCCGTTGTTATTTTCATGGTCAAATGTCAATTACAAAATGGTTAAAAAATCAACGTCGACTAAACAATAAAATTTCATCACAATTTTTACGGCCACAGATATTCTCTAAAAACGACTTCACGTCGGCTGTTGTATCGACAATGATAATAACAACCATTTGTCGCTATCGACAAAAAACGACAACCCTAACAACGTTATTGTCGCCTCGACTTCATTTTGCGACGACGACAACGGTAATGGGGACGAATATTTCTCTCAACCAGAAACCTGAGATGAATATGGAATCTTTGATTTCGCACAAAATTGGATATTAATATTAGATTTTCTTGTCATTTTGTCCATATCTATATTTTTATCTGTATTAGGCGAAGTATGAAAATGGAATACTTCGGTCGACTAGATCTGTCACCTCAAGCACAATTAAACATTTTATAAAAATTATCACATATCTCACATGTGCCAAACCTGGCACGTCGCAATATTTATATCATATTTATTTAGGTCCGAATCACACTGCATGGAATCACAATTTTCGTATTAAAATCTTTCAGCTGATAGAAATCGTACCTCTAAATGTTAATGCCGTTGTAAGCCACAATATAGTTCTTCAAGGTATTTTTAACAAGATCCAGGAAGGATTGAGTTATTTTATGGTGAAAATAGCACTCCTGAATAATGTGTGGTTAGGTATGGATCCAGCTAAATTGCCCAAGGTAAATTTTAATTGGGTAAATTACAATTGTAGACATTCGGAGACAAAAGTATTAAACTGAAAATTCGGAATTACAACAAGTAAAAAAACAATAAGTTCGGCCGGGCCGATCTTTGAATACCCTTCACCATTGGGATGATTTTGGCAAATTTCAAAAAAATAAATTCGATAAAAATTCTATTAAAATCTTGAAAATACCGAATGTAGCCGACGTGGACCTGCATAGGCAACTTTTATCATAAACCATTACAATATTCAAATGGGAAACTTGAATAAAAAAATTCGTTGATAAATTCATCAAAATTCCGAATCTCCGTAATATGGGGGCCATACGAAGACGTAGATCTGCACAGACAATTTTATGTTATAGGGTGTAGTACCCATTACGAACTTCAAATACCAAATTTGAAATTATTCCGTTGAATAATGTTTCTAAAATCATCAAAGTACCGAATATCGGGAGATACCGTTAAATAGGGGGGCTATATGAAGACGTGAACTTGCACAGTTAAATTTCTGTCATAGGCTGTAGCATCCGTTACGAACTTCAAATACCAAATTTGGAACAATTCCGGTGAATAATGTCGCTAAAATCATCAAAATACCAAACATCGGCATGTGCCGTTATATGGGGGCTATTCAAAGACGTAGACCTGCACAGACAATTTTCTGTCATAGGGTGTAGTACCCATTACGAACTTCAAATACCAAATTTGAAACATTTCCGGTAAATAATGTCGCTAAAATCATAAAAATACCGAATATCGGGAGGTACCGTTATATGGGGGCTATACGAAGACGTGGACCTGCACAGACAATTTTCTGTCTTAGGGTGTAGTATCCATTTGGAACTTAAAATACCAAATTTGAATCAATTCCGGTGAATAACGTCGCTAAAATCATCAAAATACCGAAAATCCGGAGGTACCGTTATATGGGAGCTATATGAAAACGTGGACCTACATGGCCCATTTACGAACTTAACCTGCCTACTGGAAAAATAAACATGTGTGCAAAATTTTAGCCATCTATCTCAATTTATTCGAAAGATAGCGTGATTACAACAGACAGACAGACAGACGGACAGACAGACAGACGGACATCGCTAAATCGACTTAAAATTTTACGCTGATCAAGAATATATATACTTTGTTGGGTCTGACATGAGTATTTCGAGGAGTTACAAACGGAATGACAAAGTTAATATACCCTCCATAGTATGGTGGAGGGTATAAAAAAAAATGCTGAAACCAATTGACGCGGAATTTTGCATGAGAAGAGAGTTAAGGACAGGGAAGAAGATCTGCTATTTGAATGACCATTGAATTATATTTGCGTAAATATTAGGCAAATGTCCTTGGTCAGAAAGCTAAGGGTAATATCTGGGCAGTGCTCTATGACATAATTTCAAAAGCGAAATCTTCCAAAATGGATTTGGACGTATTGTAGTTTCGTAGGGTATCACATGCACTACTCTAGCCTTTGCTTACTTCTTTTGATATCGAATTACACACTAATTTTTGCTTCATCAGAGCTGGTATCAAATTTTAAAATTCTAGCTTTAACAGTCAAATATTTAGTACTTATATGGCTCCATGCGAAAATTCAAGATTCTTGCTTTGAAGGTTTCGAATTTAGGCCCAAAAATATGGTCTCTAGAATTTTTTAGTACGAATTTCCACAAATAATGGCCCGATTATTGATAACAACTATCGTTGAGTGGCGTTGCCAGTTGCGAAAATTGCATTATGTATGGCAACTTTCAACTGAAGTTGCGAATTTCAGTTGCTACAGCGGCCATATTTGAGCAACCATCTATTTGCAGTTGCAGTGAACGTTTTCAAAGAGGAAAAAGTTAAATTGAGAGGTAAATACACATTTCCTTAACAATTATTGATTTTTTCGTTTCACTAAATCATTTTGTATGTCATTTACGGAATAATGGAGACATGGGATGAAGATGGGATAGAAATAGTGTCAAATGTTGAGGTGGAATTATCTCTCAAGCTTCGTCGAATAGATGCAACGCCCTGAACATTTTCTTCTTCATCAAAAAATAATTTCACTGAACTTATCATTTTAAAATTCTTTTATTGTTTAAATTGTGTTTTGTTATTTCGAATTTATTGACATTATTGAAGTTTAGGTTCACAAGATGGAAAATACACTGATCGATAGCACGTTTATCGACAACTCAATTGGGTTGCCTTCTATAATACAACATTTTATTTCAGTCGCGCTGACAACTGATAACGCAACCCAAGTTTGGTGGCAATGCATAATCGAGCCATAAAATAATTTCCACCTAACAATAAAGAAAACACATTTGATCATGAGTTCAGATTTGTTTTTGTTTTTTTATATATATTTCTTTATATTTTCAACGAAAACAAAATTATATGACAATATCAATTTCTCTCTTATTCTTCTTATATCTTTTGTTTTCAGTTTAGTTTTTAGATTTGTTGTTTGTTTTTGTTTTTATAATAGCATCACAATACTCGAATCACTTATTTATTTTATTAATTTTACTTTTTTTGTAAGATGGGGGAGTAGTTTGTTTTGTTTTTTTTTACGTTTGTAGGCCTTCTTAGTTTGTTTTAGTTTCTTTGTTTTGTTGTAGTTCTTTTGTTGTAAAAAAGATACGAATTAACAATAATGTGTTTATGTTTTTCTTGTTGTTGTAATAAATGTGAGTAAAGTGTGTGGTGAGTAAGTGAGAGTTTTTAACAAACTATATAAATGTGTGGTAGTGGGGATAAAATTTTGGGAAGATTTTTAAATAAAAAAATTGTTTTTTTTTTTTTTGAGGAAGAAAATTTTTGAAATAATAATTTATATATATTTTTTTCTTAATACAAGGGGATTTCAATACAATAATTTATGTGGGGAGGGGGCGATTTCATTTATATAAAAACATTCAAATTTAATACAATTTTTGTTTTTTAATTTAGAAAATAATTTAACATATTTTTTTGGAGATTTTTTAAAATCTTGTTTATAACTAACTACTAAAGGAGGGACAGCAATTTTATTAAGCCTAGTAAAAAAAATTAGATAACCAAAAGTTTTTTTTTTTGTATTTATAAAAAATATTTCCTGCTTTTCTTCTCAAGACTTAATAAAATTGCCGATACATTGTTTCTTTTGCTTTGTTTTGAAAGTGATATATATTTTTATTTTCAAACTTTTTTTCAGTGACCAAAAAAAAAAGAGTTTAAGCTTTAGTTCTACCCAAAATTGTAAAGGTAATAAATTTTTAATATTTAAATGTTCGTGGAAGAATATTGAAAGCCATACCTTAGAATAAATTTCATCATCATTCAGAGATCTAGTAGTTGTTATGTGATGCAAACTTAGTTGTAGGGTGTTTGAAGTTATGTCAATGATGATGATAATAATAATGCCTCCAATGTTGTTCTTCCCTGCAAAGACTTACTTACCTAACATACATACGTACAATATTTCATTACTATAACAACATTTATAATCTGTAGTCTTGACGATGTTTTTATGTGACTTTTTTACAGTTCTTAGCTAAGCAATTGTCTTTTTTTAAGTTAGGAGATTTAAATCAGATTTATCACAAAATTATTTGGAAGCAATGGAAAACTTCCACGGTTTGATATGGCACAACTAACCTAACTTTTGCGCCAAAAAAAAAAAAAAAAAAATTAATAGCGTTGTGAAGTAACATTGATTTTTTTCTTAATTTTTCAACACCATAAAGATAGGGAAGTATAATTTGTTTGTTCATAGGAAATCCACTAAAGTCTGTAGTGGGATTTGTTGTTCTTAAAATATTTTCAAAAATATAACAAAAAACCAGTAAGGAAAGCTCAAAAGTCTGGCGGGGCCGACTATATGATATCCTACATCACTATGCATATTTAGTAGAGCTCTCGTAAAAAGGTTTATACAGGGCATTTCAGAGCTCTATGAGATATTTGGTACAAAATCAAAATCTATCTAATTCTATCGTACATTTTACGAACTATAGCTATCTCCGAACCGGGTTTCTCCAAATTTGACGTATTAGCTTCTAGACTGAATTCGGTCTTATGTACGAAAATTCAGGTGATTTGGGCTGATATTGACCATTAAGTGCACAATTTACACGAAATCGGATGAAGATATATATGGGAGGCATATCCAAATCGGAACAGATTTTAATAAAATTAAAATCAACTATTTTTGGGCTTTATCTGATATCTGGTACCAAATACCATTCCTGTGGAGTGCATATTACGAATGTGAGGGACTTAAAGACCAAATCGGATGAAAGATATATATGGGAGCTATAGCTATATCTGAACCGATTTTTACTAAAATTGGTGTACTTGCTTCTAAGCTGGTTTCGGTCGGATTTGCCAAAATTGATGCTATTACGGCCATTTGGTGGTCAATTACCCGAAATCGGATGATGATATATATGGGAGCTATATCCAAATCTGAACCGATTTCGATAAAATTTAAAACAGCTATTCCTGTGCTCCATGTAATACCTGGTACCAAATATCAGTGAGTGAATATTACGAATGTAAGGGACTAAAACACTAAATCGGATGAAACATATATATGGTTGCTATATCTATATCTGAACCGATTTTCACTAAATTTGATATACTTGCTTCTGGCTGAATTTGGTCCGATGTACTAAAATTCAGTCCATTTGGACTTATATCGGCCATTTGGTGCACAATTAACCCGAAATCGGATGAAGATATATATGGGAGCTATATCTAAATTTGATCCGATTCTCACCAATTTCAATAGGGTTCGTCCTTGGACCAAAAAAATATTGTTTGGAAAATTTCATCTCAATCGGATAATAAATGCGACCTGCATTTTGTTCACAAGAATACATGGACAGGCGGACGGACGGACTGACATGCATAAATCGACTCAGAAAGTGATTCTATGAAGGTTTTCAAAGTAACTATAGGTCTATCTCGTTTCCTTCTCCATGTTACAAACAAATGCACAAAGACATAATACCCTTACCACTATGTGGTGTAGGGTATAAAAAAAACAAGTTCAAGAGTATTAATCAGCTTTGCCGACAGATTGATACCATCAGCCACTATCCGTTTATAAAAATATATTTTTACATGTTTTATTATTATTCAAAATTTTGACCCTCTATAGGAGAGCTACCGATGGAGTAGAACGATAGTGTTCATTTCGCGAAGTGACCTGTTTGGATAATGTGTATATACTTTTAGAAAATCCCCAATTTTTTTGGGAAGCTGCTAGAAATAGTGGGTGAACATACCCCATATACAGGATTTTTGAAGAAAATCTCTGATTTATTTCGCATAAATAAGGGTTATAATTATTCATAATATTAAAAAGTGGGGAAGGTACCAGGAAGAGTGGGGCCCATAAATTTAATATTAAGAGCAGATCTCTTGTTGGTAAAAATATTGTAATATACAAGGTTTGAAGGAAATCCTTGATATATATCGCATGTTATGAGAGTTACAGTTATTCAAAAATTTGAACAATTTTTTTTTTGTTTTTTTTTTTTTTTTTTTTTTTTGGGGGGGGGGAGTGTGGTTTACCAGACATAGAGGACCGACATTTAATATATCCATAGTAATTTCCTATGTAGTATTAGATTGGTTCAAGTAACATAATGTTTGTTTATTTAAAATATTGATCCGTTGTGGGGGAAGTATCAGAAGGATAAATGAAATATTGGGATGTACGAAATTTGAAGGCATTAGGACTATTATTTCACATTTTATGGTAGTTAATATTATTCAAAACCCGTTGACCCGTTGTGGGAGAGGTTCCAGAAGGTGTGAGCCGGTATATACCATATTCACACCCCATCTTGTAATGGTTAAAATATTGGGATGTGTGAAATTTGAAGAAAACCAGATGTTTATTTCAAATTTTATGAACGTTTTGGTTATTCAAAATGTTGACCCTTTGTGGGGGAGGTACCAGAAGAAATGGTCCGATCTCTACCATCTTTATAACATATCTTATGTTGATGGGAATATTGAGATGCGCCAAGTCGGAATGGAATCGGATGGTAATTTAGCGTTTTATGAGTTTCATGGATATTAAAAATTTTCACCCTTTGTGGGGGAGGTACCAGAAGGAGTGGACCGATATATTCCATTTTTACATCAGACCTTGGGTTAAGAAAAATATTATGATGTGTGTAATTTGAAGACAATCGGACACTTACATCACATTTCAGAAGAGTTAAAATTATTAAAAATTTTGACCCTTTGTGGGGGATGTACTTGATGTAGTGGACCAATATATCACATCTACACACCTGACCTAGCACTGATGCAAATATTAGGATTCGCAAAGTTGAAGCAAACTCGGATTATCCTTTCTCTTTCTGTGCAAAAAATATATTTTTTGAAAATTTCAACCTTTGTGGGGGCGGTATCAGAAGGAGTGGACCGATATTGCCCATCTCCGAACTCGATCTAAGTTTGACAAAAATATTACGATGCACCAAGTTTGTATCAAATCGGCTACTCCCTTCGAGAGATATCGTGCGCGCCAGTCAGCCAGCTAGACAGACGGACGAACGGACATCGCTAGATGGACTCCAAATATCCTGAAATGGATTTGGTCCAAAGAGACCTAGGGTCTAAAACCGTTATTTCGATGACGCACGTTTTGGCCATATCAAATGATATATACCCTCTCTAGCCATATGGCTGAGGGTATAACAAGTAAGCAAAGGCTCCCCCCTTATGTCAAAATCCATTTTGTCCTTTACGCTCTCATCATGCAAAATTCCGTGTCGATTGGTTTTCAATTGTAACCTGCAGGGTGACTACAAAATAAGGAAATTTTAATTTTTTGGCCTATTTGAACCCTTAACATACATCCCCATAACAATAGGCTTTAATTCTGGCCCTAACCCTACCCGCATGCAAAATTCCGTGAGGCTTCAATTCTGATCACCCCACCTCCATGCAAAATTTCGTGAGGCTTCTATTTTGATAAATTTCGTGAGGATGGGACCGCAATTGCGACCTGTAGCTTGATAACAAATGAACATGGACAGACGAACGGACATACATAGCTAGATCGACTCAGGTTGGCGAAATAGGATGATCCACATATATTTTTCTATGTCGGGGACCAATATCTCGAGGTGTTACATATTTTTTTGGTTCAATCTAATTTATAATACCCCCAAAACACATAGTGTTGTAGGGCGTAACAATAATCCTAAAACACAATAATTTATTCTCCTCAAATGTTGTAAATTTGAATTTAAACATTTTCAAAATTATTTTGAGTATTATTCAGAACAGATTTAAGATTCATGTGCAAAACCACCGTTTAACTTTTGTATTTCATATTTTTTTAGCATACATTTAGGTGCTACCCACAATTTTTAAAATTAAGAAGAAATGTGGGCAAGCGCCTAAAAGTATACTATAAAAATGATCTATATAAATGTAACTCGTAAAATGAAATGTAAACTAGTCTTAGTACCCACATTGAATGATACAACATTGTATGAAAGCAAGTTTAAATGGTCCGGATGTGTAACCAAGTCTTTTTGACAAAAGAATTTTAACAAATTAGCATATCAATGTCAATGGCCTTCTAAAACCCCAATACTTGCCCTATTATGACTATTTTATGCAGGCCTGCAACTTAGGATTTGGGATTTTTTTGATTCATTGGTTCACAACACTACCTTTGAACCAGGGTTCAGTTTTTTGAAATGGATTTTCAGGCGGCACGGACCGAGGTTTTGATTCGGGTCAGTATTATTTGTAAATGATTTTAAATGAACAGCGGAAAGACAAAATGGATCCTGTTTTTTTTTTGTCGAATTAAAGACTACATTGCGTTTATAGTTTCAATTTAAATTTAAAAATGTATGTGATAAAAACTATTTCGAATCGATTTGGGATAAATCAAAAAGATACATCTCATTTAGCTAAATAATTTACTGCAACTGCAATTGATTTTTGAAAGTATTAAATAAAATAGAGAAAAAGAAGTTAGATAATATACACAATTTCGGTAACTGAATTTAATACAGTTTCCATCACATACCTTAATAATCTTTTCAGTTCTCTTCCTCTAGCCTTAAACAACAATAATGGGACTGAGTGCATAAATTTATTAAAAAAAAAGTTTCCACTTGTTGCCTTAATTCCCGATTTTCTAAAATTCATTTTTAGAATTCAAAGAGGGGTCTAATTGAAACAATAACGAATCATAATTGTTCGAAACACTATTAACATTTTTCAATTTGAATCATAAGTGATTGATCGATGTTAGATTGCAGCCCAACTGCACATAAAGAAGACGCCACTAAACCTGGGTTATTGCCATCCAAAAATAGAGTTAAAAATTGAGTGGCCATGTTTAACATAGATCGAATCGACAACATATTTGATTGTTTTAAGAAATCCTTATTATGACCTTAAAACTATGGTACTACCTACCCTTTGGATTAGCATAAATTCCACAATCTAATAACATGAAAATGAGATGATTCTAAGAATGATTGGAAGAGGATGATACAGTTAAAATGAAAGTTAGAAAAGCTAAAGCTAGCATTCATTGTTTAAAAAAGGTAAGCATGCTGTCCAAGTGTCAGTGGGTTATCATTATTGATATGTAAGGTTTTTGATGTTTGTGTGTGTGTGTGTGGCAATGTCAAATAAGCAACATTGTTACAATATATAATAAAGTTTCAATAATAAATGTAATCTTATACAATATATCCAACAAAGTTTTCTAATTTCCAGAAATTATTTTTTCATAAAAAAATCTAATCGGCTAGATATTACGTTCCGACTACAATAGACAATATAACACTTTAAATTGTATTTTTAACAACATTTAAAAAATAAAAGTTTTGAACATTTCTGTAGCAGATGTTATGATAAAACAAATCGGACCAGAGGCTCAATTCTTGTTCTATGAAAATATTTGTAAGGGAGAAAAATGTCAAATGAAAAAAATTATAAAGAAGATATTTTTCATTTCATGTTTTCATGGAACAAGAATTGTGTTCCAGGTGTTCCTAACAGTATATAATTTATACATTTTGGGATAATTTTTTTTGGAAAAAACTATATAATAGCACAGTGCCATATTTACACAACATTTCCCTTAGAGTACTTGATAACATATTTAAAAAAAGCAGTAAAGAAAGTCTTAAAATCGGGCGGGACCGACTATATACATATTTTTTTTAAACTAACCTCAGATTATGAGTTTAAGGAAACAATTTTTTTTGTCTTTTAATAAAAAAACATTGAATTGTGGCACTGTGCGCTCGTTTTGTAATCTTTTAACTCTTTTTGTCCTCTCTTTAATGCAATTATCAAAAAAATTCAAAGAATACTCCTCAAAAAAAGATTTTCAAATCATTTCCCCCATTTTCAAATCATTTCCTATTTTTATGGATTGACTAGCCGATATAACATGCAAACTATCAAATTTTACCTTTACAATCCGTTTTGTTACCTAGAAAGAACACCTTCTTTTCTTTGTAGAACCTTCAGTTTAAATCCAAGATATAGAACACTTTAAATATCTAATATAGAAGAAAATTTTATATGGGAGGGGGCTAAGGGAGATAGGGGGCAAAGTTTTATCAAACAGCATAATTTTTATTTTATAAAAATCCATAAACTTTACCTTTGTTTCACTCGTAAGCACACAGAGACTCTCAAATTGAAAAAGGGGAAATGAATGAAAGTAGAGAAGGAAGAAAAAAGATATGATAGCTACTTAAACAGTTCAAATAAAACTATGCAACGACATAATTGAAAGTTTTTGAATTTTGGGATAGATTATTTTAAGGAAGGGTAATGTTGGTTATGCAAGGGGAGGTAATTTTGGAAATATTCAAAAATTCTGTGAAAATGGCATGGAAGATGTTTTCACCTCAATTACAAGGTAGCCTCTAAAATTAATGTTGGCCCAAAAAAATACAAAAAAAAAAAAAATGTAATATTAATGTTAATTTGGATTAATATTTTGAAATATGTATTAAAAAATATTTGAAGATGGTTCCATTTGTTAAGAAATTCGCGAAAGGAAACCTTATTCATACTTTCCCAGACACTATGTTCTTAAAGAATACAACTTAACAGATGGACGATCTTCTTAGAACTTTCAAACATCTCAATTAGAAGCAAATTTTGTAATTTTTTTTAACAAAAAAATCAAGGCCCAATTAAATTTCTACAGAAACATTACATTTGACAACTATTTGGGCATGGCCTATATAAAGGTCAGATTACATAAAACGCTTTTTTGATTGGCTTAAGTCTTCAGCTGGCTTCTTCGGAAAAGAGCAAAGGAGCGAAAGGAACCCTTATTCATACTTTTCCAGACACTATATACTAAAAGGGTACAACATAACAGACGGACGATCCTTTTAGAAGTCTCAAACATCTCAATTAGAAGAAAATTTTGAAATGTTTTTTTTTTTATAAAAAAAAAAAAAATTGGACAAAAAGACTACTATTTACAACTATTTGAACATGAACTTAGAAGCCATGACCTATATAAAGTTGAGAATGCATAACAAGCTTTTGTTGATTGACTTAAGTCTTCAGCAGGCTTCTTCGGAAAAGAGAAAAGGAGCGAAAGGAACTCTTAATCATACTTTTCCAGACACTATATACTAAAAGGGTACAACTTAACAGACAGACGATCCTCTTAGAAGTCTCAAACATCTCAATTAGAAGCAAATTTTAGAAGGTTTTTTTTTAAATTAAGGCCCGTATATAGTTCGTCAGAAAGATTGCTTTGGACAACTATTTGAGCATAAACTTAGCCATGGCCCATATAAAGCGCTTTTTTGATTGGCTTAAGTCTTCAGTTGGCTTCTTTGGAAAAGAGAAAAGGAGCGTAGGGCCGAAAAAAAAAAAATAAAGCTTCTTTGCTCTTCTACGAAGATGCCAGCCGATGACTAAGGCTTGTCAGAAAAGCGTTTTCTAATATGCAACCTATAATACAAAATTATGTAACACTCTTTAGGCAAATAAAAATTCTTTGAATCAAGGTCTATATATAAGGTCGGCCGAATATTTTCCCCATAATATTCTAGAGATTGTATTCAAGTCTTGGCACGCAAACATTTTGGCCGCAGACCTTGGACATTCCAACAGGACTCAGCACGCGCCACCCTAGAATGGTTACAAAATGAGGTTCCTCGCTTCATTTCCAGCGCACAATGGCCACCAAATCTCCGGATACCAATCCGTTGGACTATAGTGTCTGGGGTATTTTGGAAAGCAAGGTTGGCACTAAAAAATACCAAAGTGTCGATCAATTCAAGCAATTATCTCACCCTGTATAAGACAATGTAAAAACAGAAGATCGGTAGAAAGAATTCGATATTGAGATAGCCTACAAAAGTTCTTCTGCATATAAAGGACTAAGGTCTTTTATAAGGTCCTTATTCTATAGACCGGAAAAGCTTCTGTTCATAGAAGACCTTCCCTTTTTAAAAGACTCATAGTATTTTTTTTATTTTTAAACAGAAGATCGATAGAAAGAATTCGACATAAAGATAGTCTACAAAAGTTCTTCTGCATATAAAGGACTAAGGTCTTTGATAAGGTCCTTATTCTATAGACGGGAACAGCTTCTGTTCATAGAAGACCTTCCCTTTTTAAAGGCATTTTTTATTTGTGTTAAAGGTAGATAAAATACCTGTTAATGGTCTTCTATTAAACGATTGTTTACTTCATTAAAAATGGAATATAGGCCTTCTCGAATAAAATCCCTGGTAATGGTCTTCTATGTTTAAAAGGCTATCTATAAATCCTTTAAAAATAGATATTTTACACATTTCATTAATAGAACAAAGAAAGCCTCCTATAGAGGAACCTATCAATAAATATTACATCTAGAGAAGAATTTAGAACTACTTCTCTTTATGGAAAATCGAGAGGTCTTATCTTTAACTTTAGAAAACTAGCAAAGTTTGCTTTTCTAAAGAAAATCTTGCTGAGGATTTCTCTAAAGAGGCTGCAAAATATAATTTTTACATTGACCAAGGTGCGAATGGCCTTTCAAACATAGACGACTTTTAGAAAATCTATTAGTTTGGAAATCAAAAAATATTCAATCTATAGAAGAATTGAGAACTTCTTCTCTTTATGGAAAATCTGAATATCTTCTATTTTTTTATTAAAATCTTCCAGGGGATTTTTCTAAGGAGGCTGTGAAATATAATTTTTATATTGACAAAGGTGCGAATGGCCTTCCAAACATAGACGACTTGTAGACAATCTTTAAGTTTAGAAAAAAAATATTCAATCAATAGAAGAATTTGGAACTTCTTCTCCTTATGGAAAATCCGGAGGCCTTCTATTTATGAAATATTTACCTTTAGAAAACTAACAAAGTTTGTATTTTTTATAAAAATTTTGCAGAGAATAGTTCTAAAGAGGCTGTAAAATATAATTTATACATTGACAAAGGTGCGAATGGTCTTCCAAACATAGACCACTTATAGAAAATCTTTAAGTTTAGAAAGAAAAAATATTCTATTTATAGAAGATTTTAGAACTTCTTCTCTTTATGGACAATCCGGTGGTCTTCTATTTTTTTATAAAAATCTTGCAGAGAATCTTTTCAAAGAGGCTGTAAAATATAATTTTTACATTGACAAAGATGCGAGTGGCCGGCCTTCCAAACATAGACGACTTGTAGAAAATCTTTAAGTTTAGAAATCAAAAAATATTCAATCTATAGAAGAATTTGGAAAAAAATATTCAATCTATAAAAGAATTTGGAACTTCTTCTTTTTATGGAAGATCCGGAGGTCTTCTATTTATGAAATATTTACCTTTTCCTTTAGAAAACTAACAAAGTTTGTTTTTTTTTTCATAAAACTCTTGCAGAGGATTTTTCTAAAGAGGCTGCAAAATATAATTTTTAACACTGAAAAAGGTGCGAATGGACTTCCAAGCAAAAAATATTCAATCTATAAAAGAATTTGGAACTTCTTCTCTTTATGGAAAATCCGGAGGTCTTCTATTTATGAAATATTTATCTTTTCCTTTAGAAAACTAACAAAGTTAGTTTTTTTTTTCATAAAACTCTTGCAGAGGATTTTTCTAAAGAGGCTGCAAATTTAATTTTTAACACTGACAAAGGCTGCGAATGGAATTCCAAACATCTTTAAGTTAAGAAACAGACCATTAGGATGGAAAAAAAACTTTCAATTTTCGTTATATGGTTGCATAGTTTTATCAAATCAAAGAAAGCAAGCAAGGTCAAAATGGAGGGGTCGTTCGTACAACAAATGTAGGCTTTTATATGTATGCTAAAAGCTTCCTTTGTGTCGTGTTTCGTTTTTCAATAATTCGTTGTAAAAATTTGCTACTAATAAAGAAAAACTAAATAAAAGGGACAGAGGGGGTTAGGATTAACGAAAAACCAAATGTTCTACAAAATACATATGAAGAAGGAAACTGAAGTTATTTGTTATTTGAGTGAAATGATTTGAAAATGTTTTCGAAGAAAGCATGATTTGAGAATATACAAAACAGAAGCTATAGCACGTGCTAGATGCAGAGGAGTACATGTCTCAAGAGCGAGTAGTAAGAGGATGTAGAAAGATTTAAAAGAAAACAAAAACTATGGTTTTTTGTTGGTTGTTTGTTTTGTTTTTTTTTTTTTTTTTTCGATTGTTGGCAATTTCCAGAATTAACCATGGTGGGGGATAATTCATGTGTGTTTGCAAACAATTCTCTTTTATTCGACAATAATAATAATAATCATAATAATCATTCTTTTTTTGTGTTTTAATTTTTTCTTTTCTAAACAATAGAAACATTATAATTTCGTTTTTTTAAAGCTTTTTAAAACAAGAGCTTTGTTTCTTTCTTTCATTCATTCATTTTTTTCTTCTTCATCTTCATTATGTAAGTTATATAGGTATGTGTGTATGTGACTTTTTAGCTTTCTTTTTTTCTCTTTTTGCTTCAAATAAGTAGTAGTAGTTGTTGTTGTAGTAATAGGTAGATAATAGTTAAAGCTTAAACTCTTTCTTCGGCACTCTCTATGTAACTTTTTTTTTAAATTTTTTTTTGTTCTTGTTTTTTGTTTTTAAATAAATATAGTAATATTTTGTATAATAAAGAAACAATTTAAAAAAGATATCAAGTCGATCAGGGGGCCGACTATATTACAAAATAATATGCCCTACATCACCATTGGTTTGTGGAGTTGTTTGGGTTTTTTTTTTGGAAATGTTTTTTTTTTAGATTTTAAACTTTTTGAAAATGGTTGAAACAGTAACGGACAGAGTGGGGAAATTTTAATTCTAAATAATTACAATTTTTCCCTTCAGCGGGAGAGAGAAAGAAACTAATTTTTGATCTCCAACCATAGAGGATTAGTAGTTAGCATCTTACTAAGATTCCAAATTATCTTATGTACTTTATAAGCAACTCACTAAGATTTTCATATTATCTTATGTGCTTTGTTAAGGCCTAAGGTTGAGATCGTTGAATATATATGGAAAAGGCCATTATTTCTTATGGTCCAGTGCATTTCGGGGTGGTAATATATCAATACATTATCTTTTGGGGAATTTAAATTTCTTAAATTAACAACATAAATGTACCGAGAAACACCAGTCGAAACAAGCAAGGACCAGTGGTAGAAAATATTTCCATACAAAAGAAAAACTTATTTTAAAATATTGTCTTTAAAACATGCAAATTCTCAGGGGAGATCCAATGGAAAATGGGATTTTGCCTTTTTTAGATTTCTTGGAAATGCTGTTCTTCAAAAGAATACAATTTAATTTAAAATAGTTTTAGAATAGATTTTCACTTCCCACTTCTTTTTATTAAAAGTTGTCTTATAACTATAGCCTTTGGGGTTGGGGGAAAGACGAAATTATTGGCCTTAAGATTTAAGAAATCAAACCCCATTTGAAGCTCGATTTCCCATTACAATCCCTAGGAATTTAATTTATGAAATTGCAAGGCCTTGCAAGGTAAATTCACTTGGCCCTTTGGATTTTTGAAAGTTGAGGTCTTGGATGTTATTCAAGTGACAGGCATATAGGAACACAACTGAACCTGTTTTAAATAACCTAGCCAAGGCCTTTTAAATCTCTCCTAGGACTATAATTTCTGAAATTGTGGCCTTGCAAAGTAAATTCACCTGGCCCTTTGGATTTTTGAAAGTTAAGGCCTTGAAAGTTATTCAAGTGACAGGCATATAGGAACACAACTTAACCTGTTTTAAATAACTTAGCCAAGGCCTTTAAAAAATCTCCCAAAATCTTGGCTTTGCAATGGAATGTTGAGGGACATATATGGGAAAAATATCTCAACATCCTGTAACTCAAATAAATCTCCTTAACATTTCTTGAGTTTTCAGACTTCTACAGTTTATTTGAACTTATGGCTTTGGGGGGAGATGTTGAGGGGGTGAACGATAATAAAACACTTCCCCACCTTAGAAATTATGAACTTGAAAGGAAAAATACTCCCAGTTCTTTGAAGGGTTAGGGGACAATTTGAATATTTTTTCAATTAAAAAATCCTAGCCCTTCACATTGCAAAAGCCTGTAGCCTTGGGAGGTTATGTTGAGGGGGTGAACGATAATAAAACACTTCCCCACCTTAGAAATTATGAACTTGGAAGGAAAAATACTAACAAATCTTTAAAGGGTTAGGGGACAATTTGAATATTTTTTCAATTAAATAATCCAAGCCCTTCACATTGCAGAGTCCTGTGGCCTTGGGAGGGGGAAAGTTAAGGGACCCATAAAAAATAAGAGCTTCAAATTTCCGGGCCTCTTAATTTTATGAAATAATTGCCTGAAGCCAATAGGAGGACATATAACCCAGCTCTTTGAAGGGTTAGTGGACAATCGAATATTATTTCAATTAAATAATCCTAGCCCTTTAGATTGCAAAATCCTGTGGCCTTGAGGGGGAGGGAAAGTTAAGGGACCCATAATAAATAAGAGCTTCAAAATTCCGGGCCTCTTAATTTTTGCCTGAATATTTTAACAATCCTTTCAAGCAAATACCCCTGGTCTTTTTTAATTTCATCAAATTATGGCCTCACTTTTGCGGACCGCGGAGTAGAGGCGGAGGAGAGGAGAGGGCGTGTAAAAGAGATTTATCACTTTAATACTTATAGACTACCTAGAAACATGGGGGTGGGGTGGCTGAGGAGATGGGAAATGTTGTGGTACTTTTCCCAGGACAAACTCAAACACAGACGGACCTACCATTTTCAAATTTTTTGATGGGGGAGAAAGTTGGATGGTATTCGGGGGGTGTAGTCGGTCACAAACAGACAAGACAAGAAACAAAATGTTAGATGGGATGTAGGGTATATAAATATTTGAAACAAAATTATAATATTGGTAAAAAAATAGTAGAAAAAATATATATGGCGGAAATTGTTTTTTGTTGTTGTTGTTGGTGTTGATGTTGTTTTTGTTGTTGTTGTGGTTGTAGTTGTTAAAGGAAATCTTGAAGAAAAAATCACCCTTTATAGAAATTTCGTAAACATCGTCTTGAAAACTTTTTACTTGTTGTCGTTGTCGTTGTTTAACTCTAGTTGCCACGGATGATGGTGCTGCTGCTGGTGTTGGGATTTTGTTGTTGTTGCTGTTGTTCGTTATCCCAATGGCAACCTTGAGATTTAGAAGTTTTAGAGGCTTTAGCCATGGCTAGCCACTGGCTGTAGCCTGCTGTGGCTGATGATGATTATGGTGATGGTGATGATGTGGTTGATGCTGCTGCTGCTGTTGTTGCTGCTGCTGGTGCTTTTTGTTGTAATAATCATTGGAATTATTCATAAAATTTTTAGCAACATTACGTGCTGGTTGCGTTTGCTTTGGACCAAAATGTTGATAATATCCTCCGGCTGGTGGTGACGATCCCAAACCGACAAAATTATAATTGCCTTGCATACGTTGTTGGCGCTGCATTAGGAAACTCTCCGTGGTGGGTGAGAGGCCAATGTTAATGGGCGATGAACTGTTATAGGATGAATCATAGGAAGAACCAAATTGATAATTATTTTGGAAATGCTTTTCTTTATCACTGCGCATTGGTATGCGACCGGAACCAATACGTTGGCCACCACCAGGGCCTGCTGCAACAATAATGGGACCAGCTCCAACAACACCTCCACCACGGTAAATGGGTAACATTTGGGATTCCTCGGAATAGCATTTACGCTGATAGCCAGTTTTGGTGTTCTTGTTATTGGTGGTGTTGTTGTTGTTGTTGTTACGCACAGAAGCATAAATACAATCATTGCGCCAATTACGTATTTCATTGTTATGATTTTGATCTCCACCTCCCATGCCATGGCGGGGTGGCGAGAATTTATGATTACCCATGGAGTACTCATTATCCGAGGGAGGTGTTCCACCACTGCTGCTGCTATTCCCATTATTATTATTGTTGTTGTTGTTATGGCCCATCATACGACCCCCATCCTGTTGCTGGCGATAACAATAACTTGGCAACATATAGGGATTGCAACGATTGGATATTTGTTGTTGCTGGGAGCCATAACGTGGGAAATTACCCACCATTCCAGAGGTGTTGTTGTTGCTGTTGTTAACCGGATAATCATAATAACGTGGCTTACTATTGTTGTTACGATATGAATGATTGTCTAGATTTTTAAAATTCTTCAAATTATTGGTGGTCTTTTCATTACTGCCGATAGTGTTGGCATTGTTGTTGTTGTTGTTATTACGTTCCCGCCAATTTTCCAATGGCCTCTTCTCTTGATTGTTATAACGTTTTTGTGGATGCTGTTGTTTGCGTGTCTTGGAGAAGTGCTGGAATTGCAAAGGCTTCTTGAAAATGGCCTCATCATCAAGGATTCTATTGGTGGTGCCCTGTCGTTGTGGCTTTTCAAATTTCGTTTTGAATTCCGAACCACTATTTAGGCTATCACCACTAAATTTCCTTATATTTTCCACATCTTCTTCCAAACCTTCATCCTCCTCTTCGTCTTCATCATCCTCGTCGTCGTCATCATCATCATCATCGTCTTCCATTTCGGCATCATAATTACGATAGGAATCATCATTTTCAAAATAAACACAACGCTGTTGATCCATATTCTGGGGTGCCGGAATCGGAGAAGTCCTGTTCTTGAGTATTGACACTCTTGGCGATGGGGATGAGGAAGAGTTGCTATGCAACTTCTTTTCCATATCCCGCTTTTCATTTTGCTCCTCATCTTCTTCGTGGTGTTGTTTCTGCTTTTGTGGTGGGCTAGTAGTTATTATAGTTATCATAGGTACTTGTACGGCTGGCACGGCATCGTTTACATCATCGTCATCATCAATACTTCTCCGGGTGATTCCAGCAACAGCTTTGTTGGCCTTCTTCAAGGATTTCTTCTTCTTCGTCCTTTTGCGCTGGGGTGAATTATTTTTATAATTGTTAACAAATTCAATTTTCGGCCTGCCATCATCATCATCACCATTTTCGACGTTTCCACCATTACCATCATCTTCCACAGCTTCCTCTGCTTCCATATCTTCGTCCATAGCTTCATCTTCTTCGTTAACATCATTGCAATTGATTTTATCAATTTTTTTGCCAGTCTCATCAATTACATCAGGTAGCATTGCCTTTAAATCACTGATACTTTCCAATATATCATTATTAACTGCCTGCTGCTTTTGTTGTTGTTGCTGCTGTTGTTGCTGTTGTGTTTGTGGTAGCTTATTCAGCTTTTGCTTCTTCTTTTGTTTCTTCTTCTTAACCCGTTGTTTATTAGATAAATTAATAAACAATTTGTTATTGCTATCATCTTCATCATCGTCTTCTTCCTCTTCTACATCGTTGTTAAGATGATTGGCTTTAATATCATCTTGTGTATCGTTGGCCTCAATACGGTCGGAATCTGCAGCATAATTATAACCCGTATCGTCGTCCAAATCCTCAAGATCATGGACCCATGAATCTTTCTTAAAGATGTCATCATCATCCTCTTCATCATTAACATCTACCACCTTGTATTCAGACTTTGATTTTGTTTCCATTGTAAGATTATCATCTAAGAGCAGATCTTTGTTCCAATCATCGCCACCATCGTTACCCTGATCCAAATTATGCCAATAGGTGGAAAGTTCATTCTTCTTATCCTTCATAGTATTATTTTCCTCATATAGTTGTTCATTTTCCAATACCGCAGCATCATCTTCCTCATTGTGGGTATTCAATAGAGAGAAATTAATAGAGGTGGTATTGTAAAGTCTTGTGGAGGACTTATTACAGGGTGGCACAATTATAACATCATCAACACCGCCGCCATTGCTACCACTGCTGGCGTAGTTGTTAATCGATTGTTGTATATTCAAGGGTGATGGACGATGGCGGCTCTTGGAACGATGGGCTTTAAATGGCAACAATTCCTTGGGCTCTCCTCTGGTGTTGTTGTTATCACCAGCCATCTGGGATGATTGATAGATGTTGGGACGTTCCATCATATAATCGTAACGCATGGAGAAATGTTGCAGTATAACACGCTTCACAGCCATGGCGGATTCGGCGAAACGTGAAATTTCACGGGCCGATTTATTGCTAAAGGAAGAAAACAAAACAAATTTATCTTTTGTTTCTAGAATATCAGGACGGCTTGCTTACCGTCTTATATTTCCTGCAGTTAATAAAGCTTTACGTCTATTTTGCATTTTCATGCTGTCGACAGGCTCCATCTCAGAGAACTTAATCCATGGATGATTCAATACTGCCTCAGCACTCAAACGCTTGGGGGCATCCTTAACCAAAAGGCCTCTAATTAAATCTTTCGCCTCTTCACTTACATCAGTCCAGTCTGGATCAGGAAAGTAAAAACGTCCTGCAGGGGAAATAATAAAAAACAATTAAATTTTTTTTCAAAAAATATTAAAAACTTTTTTCTCACCATCTTGTATAGACTCGAATAGTAGCTCTTGACAACGGCGACAATTCTCACCACGATTCCAGCCACAATCTTCATCGCAATTACCCGAAAACGGTGGATAACCGCACAACAAGATATAGGCAATTACTCCCAAAGACCACAAATCACAGCGTTTATCATAGTAATTGGATTCGCCAACAAATAAATTAACAACTTCCGGGGCCATAAATTCGGCACTGCCAACCTGGAGGGATAGAAGAAAAAATATATGAAATTAGAACAAAATAATTAAATGGAAATGAAATATAAAATTAGTAACGTCTATATATTTGAAAATTATTCTCGCGAAGAGATGATCCAAATAGCCATAGAGATGTCTTGGACCAAGTGGAAAAGATTACGGTCAAACTGTTCTTAGGGAATCAAGTCATTCTTTATTAATTTAGGATGTGTTAATCTGCCATAGAATATAGCGCGAGAGTCAAAGGAAAACATAGCTGAAAATATTTGTTTCCCTTTGTGTATGGTTATGGCTATATTCAGAACCTAGAACCCAAAACTCTTTTGGGAGTTTGATCTACTAACTCAATACTATCCAATCGACATAGAATTTCCTACACAGTCCCATATTTTGTCGAAATTTACGGAAAAATTAAAAGCGAATTCAGAAAAAGATATAGATTTGTTGAATCTAAGAAGTTTTTTTTTAACCAAATTTGATGATGCATTTTCTATGGAACATATTGGGTTTACACATTTCTTTTGTTCGGGGACTCATAATGAAATTTGATTTAGAATATTATCTCCCTTGACACTTTCTCTCAAAAATGAAGTCTTAAGGTCAATTTTGACTTAGACTCAGGAACGTATAAAATTAACAGTCAAAAAAGTAAACAAATAATTTCCACTTTTAATAAATAAATTTCGAACGTAGTTTTCTCAGAAACTATTATTCCTAGATGAATAGTTTATTCTGAGATTCATAGTGAAATTTTGTGTAGAACATTTCCGCTTTCAACACTTTCTATCTAAAACGAAAGTCTATGTTACTTTCGGGCATGATCTCATAAAGAAACTGGTATAAGAAATATCCAAAGAAAAAAACAGTATTTATTTTCGATTTTTTTTTGAGCAAAATTAAAGCTAATATTTTCCTGACATATAATGGAAATAGAGATTTATTTTCTTTGGTGACTCATAGTGAAATTTGGTGTAGATTATTTCCTTTCTTGACACTTTCAGTCTTAAACGTAACCTTATGTTACTTTCATGTATAAACTAAAAAAGGTTAATGATAAATTCATCAAAAAATAGAAAATATTTTCGGTTTTATTTTTGGCAACATTTTCGTGTTAAATATTGGAAATAGAAATTTCTATTCTTCAGTGACTTATAGTGAAATTTGATGTAGAATATTCCGTCTTTTGACACTTTCTGTCTAAAGCGAAGTTGTACGTTACTTTCGTGCATCAAATCGAAAAATGGCCGAAGAAAAATTCATAAAAAAATATATTTCCAGTTTTATTCTTGCCAGAACTAAAACTAGTATTTTCTTGTTATATAGTGGGAATAGATATTTCTATTCTTCGGTGACTCATAGTGAAATTTGGTGTAGTCCTCTTTTGACGCTTTTAGTCCAAAACGAAGAAAAAGGAAATATTTTCGGTTTTATTTGGTAACATCGACATATATATTTTCATGTTATATAATGGGATTCGAGATTTATATTTTTCGGTAACTTATAGTGAAATTTGGTACAGAATATTTTCTCTTCTGACACTTTCTGTCTAAAACGAAGTTTCATGTGTCTTTCATGCATTAACTCGGAAAGTGGCTAAAAAAAACTCCAAAAATAGAAAATATTTTCGGTTTTATTTGGTAACATTAACACATAGATTTTCTTGTTATATAATGGGAATAGAGATTTCTATTCTTCGGTGACTTATAGTGAAATTTGGTGTAGAATATATCCCCTCTTGACATTTTCTGTGTAAAACGAAATTTTATGTGTCTTTCATGCATCAACTCGAAATGTGGCTAAAAATAAATCCATGAATATAGAGAAAATGTTTTCTTTTTTTTAATTTGACACGTATTTTTCGTGTTAAATAATGGGAGTAAAGATTTATATTCTTCGGTGACTTATAGTGAAATTTGGTGTAGAATATATCCCCTCTTGACACTTTCTGTCTAAAACGAAATTTTATGTGTCTTTCATGCATCAACTCGAAAAGTGACTAAAGACAAATCCATGAAAAAATAGAAAATATTTTCGGTTTTTTTTTGCAACATTGACCCGTATATTTTCGTGTTAAATAATGGGAGTAGAGATTTCTGTCCTTCGGCGACTTATAGTTAAATTTAGTGTAGAATATATCCTCTTCTGACACTTTTTGTTTAAAACGACGTTTTATGTGTCTTTCATGCATCAACTCGAAAAGGAGAAAAATCCATGAAAAAATAGAAAATATTGTCGTTTTCTTTTTGGCAATATTGGCACGTATATTTTCGTGTTTAATAATGGGAATAGAGATTTCTGTTCCTCGATAACTTATAGTGAAATTGGGTGTAGAATATATCCTCTTTTAACACTTTTTGTCTAAGTCGATGTTTTTGTGACTTTCATGCATCAACTCGAAAAGTGGCTAAAGACAAACCCATTTAAAAAAGTATTTTCGGTTTTTTTTTTTTTTTTTGGCAAATTTCACACTTATATTATCTTGTTATATAATGTAAATAGAGATTTCTATTCTTTGGTAACTTATAGTGAAATTTGGTGTAGAATATATCCTCTTTAGACACTTTTAGTCTAAAAGAAAGCCTTATGTTACTTTCATGCATCAAATCGAAAAGTGGCTAAAGATAAATCCTTGAAAAAATAGAAAATATTTTCCATTTTTTTTTCTGGCAAATTTGACACGTATATTTTCTAGTTATATAATGGAAATAGAGATTCAAATTCTTCGGTGACTTATAGTCAAATTTAATGACGAACACTTTTTCTTTGATATCGTTCTTCAAAAATGATGTTTTCTATGAGAATTTCGAACAAACTCATATGAAGAACGGATTTAACTTTTTTTTTTTGCAAAATTGAACAATTATTTTTTTTTTTTTTGATATATAATGGGAATAGCGAATTCAATTCTTGCTTTTCTTGTAGTATAGCCTTTGATATCATCCTTCTAAAATTATGTTTTGTGGGAGAATTTCACATAAACCCATTGAAGAATTGCTCCTCAAAATGCCTTTTAAAATTCATTAGATTTCAGGCGTTTTGGTAAGAGGTAGCCTTTTGATTTCTTCTGGGACCTACAGTAGAATCTTATGACAAATAAATTTGTAGAATATTTTAATAGGCTACGAACTCGTTTAAAGGGAGTTTTTAGTCATATTTGGAAAAAAAGACTAAAAAGACCCATTTGTCAGGGTTAGCATTTTTGACCAAAATAATATTTGTATTGTTATCTGTAATATTCCCGAGGAAACTATATACCAAAATTGCATGGATTCTAGAGAATCTTAGTCCGAGAATTTGAAAAAGTCTGGAAGAGTGGTGAAGTTGCCTCCTCCATTTTTGTTTCTTTGAAATATAAGCTCTCAAAACGACGAAACAAAATTCTACTATTTTTAGATCTATTTCATAGTCTACTAAACTTTTTCTTCCCGATTTATTAAAGATTAAGCATCCTATCACTTATCTTGAAAACATAATCCTCTAAATACCAAAATCTGTTTTTGTTATCAAAATAACATCTCTTATTTGAAATCCATTTTTGAAGAGAAGAACTATTCTAGGACGAAATTGTCCATACCAACATTTTCCCTTTCTTTGAAATTCCTTGAAATACTCACCGGCGTTAAAAGTTGTGGCGTTGCCACCGGCGACGAAATATCAGCGGTAAACGTTATACCCGAACCCAAATCAAAATCACATATCTTTATGGGGCACAATTTATCCGGATAGACACACAAAATGTTCTCCGGCTTGAGATCACGATGTGCAATGCCCTTCTTGTGGATGAAATCCAAACTGGTGGCGATCTCTTTGATAATTTGTGCAGCATCGTTTTCCGAGAAACAAATGTGCTCCTGAATGCGGCTCAACAGTGCACCGCCGTTGATTTTTTCAAAAACCAAATAAAATTTATCATCATCTTCGAAGAATTCCAATAGCTGTAAAATGCCAGGATGTCCTTCGCAGTGGCGGAAAGTTTCCACTTCGCGAAAGACACGAGAACGTGCATGACCGGGAATTTTGTCGATGACCTTTACGGCATATTCCAGGTCGGTGTAAATGCTAACACAGGTCTGGACCGAGGCGTAGGCACCTTCACCCAAAATTTCACCGGTTAGTTTGTATAACTCTGTATGGAGGGGAGAAAAGAGAGAGATTAGTTGTTTTGCAATTTAGTAAAGGGAGAGAAAATGCAAACCTTGAAATGTAGACGAGTGCCACGATGAGGTTCTCTTCTTCCGGCGTTTCTTCTTTTGCATTTCCTCCTTATGGCGATTGAATTTCTCCTGACGCTCGGTTTCCGTTAACTTGGGAGCATCACTGGATTCATTGCCTGAGACATCATCTCCACAGCTGTAGCGACTAGGTTCATTTTGATCACCTGCAAGGGGAGGCAAGAAAAAAATACACAATTAAAATTAATTGCCAAAATTTCGAAGTTTCCAAAAAACATAGCATAAATATTTACTTAGAAATCAAAACCAACAACAATAAATTAAAAAAACGTGTGAATGACGTAGATAGTGTTGTGAAAATGAACCTCCCACCCAACTAATTCATGGAAATCCCAAAAATATTGGCACACTTATTTTTTGTGAGGTAGCGGGCCAAATAAAAAATTGAAAAAAAAAAAATAGAAATCCCCCATGCCAACACTGACAGCCAGTCAATCATGGGCGATTTTTTTTTTGTCCGGGGGAGATGAAGTGAAATTGATCGTTGGATTATTTACGTTCTTGTGTTCTCTTTTTCGAAACAGAACTATTTTCATTTTTTATGCAGAACAATTTTTTTTTTTAATTGTGAAGACATCTTGACATCTTTGAAAATTTTCCAGAGATCCAAGAAGACCTAGAACTATTTTTTTATAAAAATAGTGAAGACATCTTAACATCTTAGAGAATTTTCCAGAGGTCCAAGAAGACCTATAGATCTTCCAGGTTAAGTAGCGATTAAGATATGATAAAGAAAATATCAAGAGGATAAGAGACCTGCATTAATGGATTTTATTATGTTTTCAAGGAACCATAGATCAAGACTTGTGGATATTTTTTAGGGAAATTTTTCTTATTCTGAAAAGGGCTATGTTTTCAAGGACCAATAGACCATAATTTGTGGATATTTGAAGGAAATTTTTTCTTATCCTGTAAAGGATTAGGATTTTAAGGATTATGTTTTCAAGGACCAATAGACCATCATTTGTGGATATTTTAAGGGAAATTTTTCTTATCCTGAAAAGGGTTATTTTTTCAAGGACCAATAGACCATGATTTGTGGATATATTAAAGGAAATTTTTCTTATTCGGAAAAGGGTTATGTTTTCAAGGACCTATAGACCATGATTTGTGGATATTTTTAGGAAAATTTTTCTTATCCTGAAAAGGGTTATGTTTTCAAGGACCAATGGACCATGAGTTGTAGATGTTTTTTTTTACTGAAAAGGATTATATTTTCAAGGACCAATAGACCATGACTTGTGGATATTTTAAGGAAAATTTTTCTTATCCTGAAAATGATAGGGATTTTAAGGTTATGTTTTCAAGGACCAATAGGCCATGATTTGTGGATATTTTAAAGAAATTTTTTTCTTATCCTGAAAAGGGTTATGTTTTCAAGGATCAATAGGCCATGATTTGTGGATATTATTAGGAATTTTTTTCTTATCCTGAAAAAGGTATTGTTTTCAAGGACACATAGAACATGATTTGAGGATATTTTAAGGAAACATTTTCTTATCCTAAAAAGGATAAGGATTTCAAGGACCAATAGACCATTATTTGTGGATATTTTAGGAAAATTGTTCTTTTATTAAAAAGGGTTATATTTTCAAGGACCAAAAGACCATGATTTGTGGATATTTTAAGGAAAATGTTTCTTATCCTGAAAAGGATTGGCATTTTAAGGGTTATGTTTTCAAGGACAAAAAGACCATGATTTGTGGATATTTTTAGGAAAAATTCTCTTATCCTGAAAATTCGTTCCAAGGCTTGAGAAAATTTCCCACATTCGAGCACCCCCTAAAACATTTCCATCATTCAATTATTTTTTTCAAATCTTTAAGATCAGCCAAAATATTCTCGATCTTCAAGCAGCTCCCTAAAAATGTTCAATAATCTAAAGACTTTTACGAAACACTCACAAAAACACTTCCATCTTTAAAAAAAATAAAAACTTTAATTAATTAATTTTTAATTACATTTTTTAATCTATTTTAAGATATCCTGAAAATTCGTTCCGAAGCGTCTTCTCTAATTAGAAGGCTTGACAAAAATTCCCGCATCCTAAAACCATTTGCATTTTTTAATCATTTTTTTAATCTTCAAAAATTTCTTCAAGGTTCTTCGATATTTGAGGTTCTCCAAAAGGACTCCGATCTTTAAGCAGCTCTCTAAAAATATTCAATAATCTGAAAACTTTCACGAAACACCCCCTAAAACCTTTCCATCTTTTAGTGAACCTTTAGTTAATTAATTTTTAATTAAATTATTTAATATTGAAATATGGCTCTATGTGCCTTGGATATTTTAAGATCTACTGGAGGTCTTCGATCTTTAAGCAGCAGCTCCCTAAACATTTTCAATCATCCTTTTAAAGCATATTCCATCCTCAAACACCCATTAATCTCCTTTCCATCTTTAAGCGAACTCTTAATTACCCCATCCCTGTCCCTCCCTACATCTGCCATCCACCAAAGATAAGTTGGCCACAATTGACCACAACAAATTTCCTGTCCAACGAGTAGCTGCATTCATAATCTAGTTATAGCTATTTTCAGAACCATAATCATCTATTCTCACTGGCTTCCTTCTTCTTTGTGACCATACCATATACAACCCCCCTCCCCTCCCAGATCTCCTCCTCCCTAGGACCTCATTGCCATGATTTGCCCGTGCTAGGAAATAAATCGTCCATACAAAAAACTCTTATCACTCTTTCGACTCTATCCCTGGCTGGGGTGATGATGGCAGTTGTGGTCCGGGTGGTTCGTTCACATTTGTACCGCCTTAAATACGCAATGATAATAAATAATTCTATAAAAAAACAACAACAACAATTAATCCATTGTAACGAAAACAAAAACAACGACAACAAGGCACAGTTCATATGCTACCCCGATGCTTTTGTTTCGATTTAAATTTTTGAACCAAAAAAACAAAATATGTGTGCAATTTTTTCGAATTGAAATGCGCAATTAAAACAAATTGATATGTAAAAAAATCGAATTTTTGTTTAATTAAATGCATTTATTGTGTGGGAGAAGAGGGTTCTCCTGGGAAGAGGTGTTCTTTATATAAATAGATAAATGGTATAATTGAAGGGGGGAGAGAGTTGGGAAAAGGACATAGAATCAACTTCCATACCTACCAAATAACATAGAATTATAATTCGTATACCAAAAAAAAAAAAACATAGGCTTACTTATCCGCGAAACCGCAATAACATAGAATCATTTTTCACATCTCGTAAATGGCATAAAATTGTTATTCCTATCCGAAAATTAAAATCGAGTTATTAACGACTTCCTAATAACATAGAATCATGCATCAAATCTCCGAAGTAACGTAGAATCATTTCCGAATAACATAGAATCATTATCCACTTTCCTTAAAGGACATAGAATTGTTATTCATATCAAAAAAAAAAAAAAAAAAAAAACGTAGACTCATTATCCACGATTTCTAATAACATGGAATCATGGACCAAACCCCCGAAGTAACGTAGAATCATTTCGTACATTTTACAAATAATATAGAATCCTTATCCACGTTCCTCAGAGAACATAGAACAATTATACAGGTCCTTCAAATAACATTAGCCATGTCATTGAAAAAACATAGAAACACCTTCTAAAAATAACAGAATCTATACCCACGTCATCATAATAACATAGAATCATCTTTAGCATAATGTAAATAACATAGAATCACAATCGACGCTCTTGAAATAACATAGAATTATTATCTGTGCTATGAAAATAACATAGAATCATTCTCCACGCTACGAAAATAACACAAAATCATTATCCACGTCATGAAAATAACATAGCATCATTATCCACGTTCTTAAAATAACATAGAATCACTATTTATGCTATGATAATAACATAGAATCGTTGTCCAGGCTATGGAATTAACAGAGAATCATTATCCAAAATATCATAGAATGATTACTCATATGGTATGACAATAACATAGAATCATTGTTCACGTTAAGAAAATAACATAGAATAAGTAAATACGTTGTGCCAATATCATAGAATCAATATCCACGGTATCAAAATAACATAGAATTATTATCCACGTTACGAAAAAACATAGAATTAGTATCTATGTTATGAAAATAACATATAATGATTATCCACGTTATGAAAATAACGTAGAATTAGTATCTACGTTATGCCAATATGATAGAATCATTATCAACGTCATGACAATAACATAGAATCATATTTTTCGTTATAAAAATAACATAGAACCATATTATTCGTTACAAAAATAACATAGAATCATTATCCACGTTATAAAAATAACATAGAATCACTATTTATGCTGTGGTAATAACATAGAATCATTATCCAGGCTATGGAAATAACATAGAATGATTATCCACGTTATAAAAATATCATAGAATCATATTTTTCGTTATAAAAATAAAATAGAATCATATTTTTCGTTATAAAGATAACATAGAATCATATTATTCGCTACAAAAATGACATAGAATCACTTTTTATGCTATGATAATAACATAGAATCATTATCCATGCTATGGAAATAACATAGAATGATTATCCACGTTATAAAAATATCATAGAATCATATTTTTCGTTATAAAAATAACATAGAATCATATTTTTCGTTATAAAAATAACATAGAATCATATTATTCGCTACAAAGATAGCATAGAATCATTTTCCACGTTATAAAAATAACATAGAATCACTATTTATGCTTTTATAATAACATAGAATCATTATCCATGCTATGGAAAAGCATAGAATGATCATCCACGTTATAAAAATATCATAGAATCATTATCCATGTTATGACCATAACATAGAATCCTAGTCCACGTTATGAAAATAACATAGAACCATTATCCATGTTATGAAAATAACATAGACGTATTATTCAAGTTATAAAAATAATAAAGAATTATTATCCACCCTATGATAATAACATATAAACCATATCCAAGTTATAAATTTAACATAGAACCATTATCCACGTCATGAAAATAACATAGAATCATTATTCACATTATGACAATAACATAGAATTATTATTCACTTTATAAAAATAACATAGAATGATTATCCACGTTAAGAAAGTAACATAGAATTATTATCCACGTTATTCTATGTTACAAATTAACATAGA